TTTCGTGAAATTTTTTTAATTTATGAGAAAAAAGCAGTGTACATGGATATAGTGAAGAGTGTGTGCAATGCCATTTTTGTGTAATTCTGGGATGTCTTTTTAAGTAAAAATAAGTCGACGTGTACATGGTTTATGTGTATGTGTTATTTTGAAAAATGCGTAAGAAGTATGGTATTGTGGACTTTTTCCCAATTTTGCAGTTAATATTTGTCATGATTAAGCAGTTTTGTTCCATAAAATTTCTAGCATAAGTGTAATTCGGCTAGTAGATTGTTGGAAAAAGTGTTGAGTAAATAAAAAGAAAAGAAACATGTCTTTACTTCGTGAAGACAAAATGGCGGCGAGAAAAAAAAAAAAAAAAAAAAAAAAAAAAAAAAAAACAAAAAAAAAAAAAAAAAAAAAAAAAAAAAAAAAAAAAAAAAAAAAAAAAAAAAAAAAAAAAAAAAAAAAAAAAAAAAAAAAAAAAAAAAAAAAAAAAAACAAAAAAAAAAAAAAAAAAAAGAAAAAAAAAAAAAAAAAAAAAAAAAAACAGGGGTTGCTGTAGCAGAGTTTTGTAGCAGAGTTGGTCGCCAAATTTTCGCCAAAGAATCGTTAAGTTACCATAATCCAAAGATCAACCGAAATTTCTTTGCCAAGACACAAAATTCATGTAATGAAAACAATAATATCTCTTATTTAGGTCTTGAAAATAATGGTACTCTTCTCTTATCAGGACATAGATTCAGAAGTGTATGTATGCACATATGTGCATAAATATATATGTGTGTACACAGATACATATGCACGTACATATATACATGCATATATGAACACATATATACATTTCTGGACCTGGCCCTGATAACAGAACAGTACCAAAATAGCTTTCTAGGAAGTATTCTGAAAATTTCTAAACTTCACATTCATTCTAAATAAAAGTGCAGAATTTTCATAATTCTTAGTTCTTGATGTTATTATAGCAGGTGTTTCAGATAATTTTAGTTAAGAATGTTTCATTTCTGGAAGAAATGAACAATGAAGAGTTGCAAAGTTTCATGCTATATTATGAAAAGTTTTAAATAAACATTTTATGTCAAGGCTTTACAGGAATTCTGGTAATCATGTACTATGCCAGGGGTATCCAAACTTTTTAGCCTACCGGGCCATAGGGGCTCTTTCCCAAAGCTTCGAAGGCTAAGATCCGGTTAATTTATCATATCATGGTGACGCAAATATGATGAACAGCATACACGTTTTTAAACCAGGGAATGAGTGAGATTTTGTGATTGGATCTACATGCTATGATCTTACGAACAACCTTGTTTTTTGACTTTAATGGAGTTTTGCCTAATATAAATTTCTTAAAGCTATTTTTAAACATTTATAAAATTATACTTTTGTTCTAGGATATTAGATATTTCTTTGGTTTAGTATGTACTTTACTTTTTAATGGATTTACCTCTCCATTGTCACAATTTATCATCACATTTTGTTTACATTTTCATCAGGTGCAAACTTTTGCTCATAGGTATTTTTTATTTTAGGCAAGTCTTGTGTGAAAAAATCTCCAAAATTAAAACAAATTACAACATATACAGAACAAAATTAAGATTTAAATAAAATCAATACTGAAAATTTCTATGAACCAACTGCGTGTACTACTATGAAAGTAGGAAAGATAACTTGTGAAACATTTCTTCTTGTAAAAAAATACGAGAATTTTTTACGCCCTTGTACAAAGTAAAGAAAATATTTTAATCACAAAAATTTCTGATACCATATTTCAACAAAGCTATCCAATTTGACTGCTCTCGAAACCATTTGAACATTCTTTCTTATGCGTGATGTATGTATGTATTTATCTCGCATAACTCAAAAACGAGTAGCTTTCAAATGTCAAAATTTCGACTGCTATAACATCTAGTGGTTGATCTTTACATTATGGTAACTTAACGATTTTTTGGCGAAAATTTGGCAACCAACTCTCCTACAGCAACTCTCTATTTTTTTTTCCTCGCCGCCATTTTGTCTTCACGAAGTAAAGACATGTTTCTTTTCTTTTTATCTACTGAACACTTCTTCCAACAATCTACTAGACGAATTACACTTATGCTAGAAATTTTATCAAAACAAAAACTGCTTAATCATGACAAATATTCACTGCAAAATTGGGGAAAAAAGAAAAAGTGCACAATACCATACTCCTTACGCGTTTTTTCAAAAAAAAAACATAACCCTACACATAAACCATGGTACACGCCGACTTATTTTTACTTTTTTACTTAAAAAAACATCCCAGAATTGCACAAAAATGGCATTGCGCACTCTCTTTACTATATCCATGTACACTGCTTTTTCTCAATAATTAGAAAAATTTCACGAAAATACATGACAATTTTCTAAATCTTTAAACCCGGTGAAAAGAACAAGAACATATATGAAATTACCTGATCGCGAAAAAAAAAAAAAAGTATTTACCCTTTACAAATATGAACATTTCCACATATAAAAAATAAAGATAAAATATCCAAAAACCTTTTACCTCTAAATCATCTATTACATTATAACACGTCACCAACGAATTCATACCGCAAGCATTACAAAATACTTAGTATCAAAATTTAAATTATTTCCATGCACGTTTTTCAATTTTAAACGTATACCAAATTCCTACAAAAACATAAAATTCACAAAAATAACTATCATTTCATTTAAAATATCACTAAAACCATGTACACGTCGACTTATTTTTACTTAAAAAAACATCCCAGAATTGCACCAAAATGGCATTGCGCACACTCTTCACTATATCCATGTACACTGCTTTTTTCTCATAAAAATTAGAAAAATTTCACGAAAAAATACATGACAATTTTCTCAATCTTTAAACCCGGTAAAAATAAAAAGAACAATATATGAAATTACCTGATCGCGAAAAGAAAAAATATTTAAGTATTTACCCTTTCCAAATATGAACATTTCCACATATAAAAATAAATAAAAATATCCAAAAACTTTTACCTCTAAATCATCTATTATATATAAAACGTCACCAACGAATTCATACCGCAACCAACCATTACAAATACTTAGTGTCAGATATTTAAAATTATTTCCATGCACGTTTACTTCAACTAAAACGTTATACCAAATTCCTACAAACATTAAAAAAAATTCACAAAATAACTATCATTTCAATTAAAATATAATTAAATTCAAAAACACTACTTAAAATATAAATGAGCACATACATTAAATTAATAAAAAATTACCTTACAATCCTAATTACTTTAAACTAAATCATTGCTAATAACAATTTTTCCAATAATAATACCAAATTCCTTTCCATCTTACATTTAGAACAATGCATAAAAATAATATCCTCAAAATAATTAAAAATAAAAATACTAACTTACCTAATCTTCTTCAGAATCTTGATTACGTGGCGGATACACTTTTCTAATTCATTCAATAAAATTATTGAAAGATTTTTTCTGCGAATTTTTCCTCCATACTTCCTCCACTAAATAAAAAGCAAAATTCTCTTTATCACAATGCCTAAATACCCATTTTGAATTCACTTTAGTTAGGGCCACGGGATCCAAAAAAATTAAACAAAAACTGTTTTCACACACACACAGAATAAAAGCTAAATACAAAATTTCCACATTTTTTTTTTTTTCCCGATTTCCCCCCTTTTCCGATTTAAAGAACCATAATTCGTCCATTAATATCACATGACATATCCCATGATCTCTCATTTCCCTCACGCAAAAATAATGCATAATCGGAACTGAGTACTGCTCACATTATTACCAAAGTCCCAGGTAGTAACCTTTATCGCCTCCAAAATGTCGCCAAACTACCAGTTACCATATTGTAAAGATCAACCCATCTAGTTTTGCTCCTGCCTGTTTGCTTGCAATTGGCTGTGCCAAATGTATCTATATAGTCCTGCATTATCAATATAATAGACTTGATAATTAACTGATAAGGAAAATGTTTTGAATAGCATAAACAGATTTTAAAATAATTTATTTCTTTACTTGTTACTACAGCTTGATACTGTAAAAGAATCATTTACACCCAACAAGACTTCTGAATTCGAAAATAAAATAAAAATCTCATAAAGACTTCATTATTAAATTTTAAGTGCATCACTCAAACAGGACATGTGTGATCCTAATGAATAAAAATACAGAATAAGAATATATGCGTATACGAAGATCTTTGTATTAGGCGTGAAATAAATTAATGCGCAAAAAATTAATTCAAGAATAACTATATAACACTTTAACAGTTATACTCAAATAATATTTATGCAAAGAACAACCATTTTAATAACAAATTGATATAACATGAACAATGTTAACTGAAAAAATACAATAATATTTCCTAACTAACTATTCCAACAAGTGAATAAAGTGAATCAACGATTAGAAAAGCAAATTAATAATTTTTACATTTTACTAATACATTAAGAAAATTAAAATAAAAATTACATGGATTTTGTTCCATGTTGCAGTAAAAAAATATCTAAAAATGCAATTATTGCACTGTGTACCATTTTGCTGCGAATACTAACAAATACTGGCGAAATCACAATCCTCTTCGCTACCAATCTTAACAACATCTGAAAATTGATAAATTAGCAGACAATAATGCAAACTGAAAAGAGCTACAAACGTTGCCATTCATCCTAAAGTAAAATTAGGCATTTTTATGTCAAGGGAAGGTTATTTGTTTTCAGGCTTAAAGTTAAGCATTAGGGAAATAAATATTTCAAAATTTCAATTTTATAGGTATTTCTTATTTTTCAATAGGAAATAAATAATTATATAAGGCAGTATTCTGTCTTGATTTCAGCCCCTCTGTCATCTCTCTGTCAAGAAATCGCATTGAATGTTTAAAAATCATAGCCTAAATTACTAAGCGTAAAAAACAGTTTTCAAGAATAATTAATTTGATCTTTCTTATATGATGATGTGATAAAATTTTTGGTTAGTATATTTCTGATTTTGTTTGGCACTGCTACTATATCTGTGATTGGAATCAAAACAATGTCGCGTGTTTATTATAGCACGCGTTGCTAGAAAATGCTATAAACTAATTGTAAATGGGAAATATAGTGTTGTAAGTACAATTTATTACGTATAAACGTTTGTATTCCGCGCGAATTGTAATGAAATTGTTATAAAAAATTCGCGCTTTTTGATTCTGTATTAAGATTATCGCAGCCAATTTGATAAACCTTAGCATTTTGTAATAGTGTCCTTTTAAAGAGAAAAAGTGCGATCCTTGGCGATCGAAAAAGGCCTTTTGAAACTGAACTGTTTCACTCGAAGCACTAATCAGACATCCTGAAAACAAAAGTGGTGGAAAATAGTTCTTTGGAGGGGCTGTTAAAGATAGCCTGTAGATGTGATAGTGGTTTTAGTTTAGTGGTGCAACGTATGCCTATGAATAAGAAATTACGGAAAGAAAATTTTAAGTTTTTAACTCATTTGTGTAATAAAATCATTATTAATTACTTTAATAGAATTAGAAATTCAAAAAAATACAGTTGAGACGAGCAGTGTTATGATTGCTGTCATTCTCCTCTGCATGCTATCCATATACCACCATCATTAACCAAATAATGTGTTGTACAAGTAAATAGTTGTAAAACCTCATTTCCCTCCTTTCTTTCTGCTATAAGAAAGCATGGACGAATTTTCCCCTCTCTGCATGTGTCTTTTCTGTCACATGGAATGGGAAGAAGACTGTCTTTATTGTCTAGCACAGACTGAACTGCAATTTAATAGTATTTTTTAGTTAAAACCAAGCGAGTTTCTGCTTCGGAAGTTTACATTTATTTAAATTAGAGTATTGCATATCTGTGTTATATGTACATTTAGTTTAAAGTTGGTTTGTTCTTATTTCTAGGCTTCTTGGGCTAATCTTTGGAATATGGTAACAGGTAGTTTGGTGAAATTTTGGTAAGGCGATAAAGGTTACTAGTTAGGACTTCAGCAGTGTACATGGATAAAGTCAAGAATGTGCGCAATGCCATTTTTGTGCAATTCTGGGATGTTCTTTTAAGTGAAAATAGATCGACGTCTTGTACATGGTTACCGTGTATGTGCCATTCTTAAAAACGCAGCAAGGAGTTTGTGATTCTGCACTTTCTTTTAATTTAATTATATTTTAATTAAATGATATTGTTTTCACGAAGTAAAAGCATTTTTTTTTTTTACTCAACATTTTTTCCAACAATCTGCTAGCCGAATTACACTTATGCTAGAACTTTTATGGAACAAAATTGCTTAATTATGATGAAGATTAGGTGCAAAATTGGGGCAAAGTGCAGAATTGCCCACTGCTTGCCGCGTTTTAAGAATTGCACATACACAGTATCATCCATGTACACGTCGACCTATTTTCACTTAAAAAAACATCCCAGAATTGCACAAAAATGGCATTGCGCACACTCTTGACTTTATCCATGTACACTGCTAAAGTGCTAGCTAGTAACCTTTATCGCCTTACCAAAATGTTGCCAAACTACCTGTTACCATATTCCAAAGATTAGCCCTTTTGTTCCATAAAAGTTCTAGCATAAGCGTAATTCAGCTAGCAGATTGTTGGAAAAAAATGCCTTTACTTTGTGAAAACAAAATGGTGTCAAAAAAAAAAAAAAAAAAAAAAAAAAAAAAAAAAAAAAGTAGCAGGTTGCTGTAGCAGGCTTGGTCGCCAAAAAATCGCCAAGTTACCATAATTCGAAGATTAACCACTTCTTGTAAAGTTCCATATGGTATAATGTTTTAAACCTGTAATACTAAGTGGAACATCCCTTTTTAGAAGTTAATGATTAAAAATTATTGACTGAAAATGAAACGGACTTCATGGGTATATGTAGTGAATATGAAAGTAAAAACACAAGACATATTATATTCCATTTATTTATTAAATAATGCAAGAAAACTAGCTAATTAATAGCTTATAACATTAAAATATTTTGGTACAATTCCATTATTGTCTCCATAAAAATCACCTTAACATAAGGAGGGAAGCATAATACTAAATAACTATTTAAGAATATTGCTTTAATTTAGATTCAAGGTTAATTGCATATAGTAAATTTTTCTTACAATCCATAAATGAAGTAAAATAAAATAAAATGATAAAACATGATTGACATTAAATGAAAGGCATAGCATTTATGATCTCTTCCAACATTGCAAAGAAAAAAAAATTTTTTTTTTTTTTTGGATTGTGTGAGTAAATGTTCTATGTAAATTAAGACAAAAATCGAGGTGCTATTGACAAGTGATCTGATGGTATTTATTATACCATTTACACTTCAAACTGCTCTATTGTTTGTGTATGACACCCATACACATTGGGGTCCATGAACTTTTATTTATGGTCGTCTGTAAAGTAACGGGTGGCCATAATTAAACTCACAGTGTTCTGTAGCGCGATCTATTTGCGAGAATGATGCCACATTTTGTAGGAAGATTAAACAAGACTGGGGACGAAGGATTCCGAAAAAAAAAAATAGTTCCAAAAGTCACCACTAGGGGAATATTTGGCGCTGTGTAATAGAAAATAGAGTGTGTTAACACACGCAAATCAATATGGAAATTACCTTTTATTTTGCATTCAAATGAGGTTCAATGTGGCTGCCTTTGTTGTGGACCACATATTGCATTCTGTGCACAGTATGCACAACAGCAGAAAGTAACATGTCTGCAGGAATCTCCCGTACAGTCCATGATATGTTATCCATCAATGTATCCAGGTCCTGGACCACTCCTTGATAGACCTTGGACTTAAGGTAACCCCATAACCAGAAGTCACACAGGATAAGATCAGGCGACCGAGGTGGCCATGCAGTTGGAAAGTAGCGGCTAATGACTCTCTCTGGTCTGAATTTCTGTCGTAGCATCCGTTGCACCCATACTGCAATGTGTGGAGGGGCTCCATCTTGCATGAAAATGATTTCCCCCAGGCATTGTCTTTGCTGAAGTGCCAGAATGGCAAAGCTGTTCAACATGTGGCGATATTTCTCTCCGGTAACAGAACAGGTTTCCAGTCCTGTCAGAGTAATGTTCTCATAGAAGAATGGACCTACGATAAATTCCGCTGTGAACCCACACCAAACAGTTACCTTTGGTGAATGTAAGGGAATTGCTGTGACTGCATGTGGTGATTTGTCATCCCAAATTCGGCAGTTCTGGGTATTCACAGTTCCGTTCAGGTAAAAGTGGGCCTCGTCTCCCCATAAGATTTTCCATGGCCAAGCATCATCCACCTCCATTCTGGCAAGAAAGGTGAAAGCAAAAGTCAATCGCTTATTATGGTCGGGGTACAGTAACTCCTGTACAAGGCTGATCTTGTACGGATAGAAGTTGATAATCTTTCATAAGATTTTCCATACTGTGCTGTAAGGCATATCCATAATAAAAGGTAATTTTATTCCGTATTAATTTGCATTTGTTAACACTCTATTTTCTATTACACAGCGCCAAATATTCCCCTAGTGGTGACTTTTGGAACTAATTTTTTTCGCAGAATCCTTCGTCCCCCGTCTTGTTTAATCTTTCTACAAAATGTGACATCATTCTCGCAAGTAGATCGCGCTACAGAACACTGTGAGCACTGTCAGTTTAATTATGGCCACCCGGTATTTGCATTATTCACCCAGCACTCCTGCAAAGACACAAATCGTTGGCGACTACTTTTTTGCCAATCTAACACATGAAAAACAGTAGCCAGGCAATATGCTGAAAGTTATATAAAACAGCAATTAATTATTGAAATTAAAAACATAAATAACCATAATGAAAATATCATAAAGTAATGAAAGTAAGGTGAAAGTATATTTTAGGGTACCCCTTGGTGATTTTTGGTGGTACATGGATATCGAGTTTGTGCAATTCTCTGACTTATTATTTTGCCTTGCATAACGGCGATTTTCGCCGACCTGTTTTCACTTTAAAAAAAAATCCCCGAATTGCACATTCCCTTGACTTTATCCATCTACACATCGATCTATTTTCACTTAAAAAAAATCCAAGAATTGTACAAACTTGCATTGCCCACTCCCTTCACTCTGTCCATGTATACATCGATACATTTTCACTTAAAAATTCAAAGGAGCACCCAATTCTACAATACAGGGAAACAAAAAACAATCAATAAACTACGTTTTAAACCAACCAAAAAAAAAAAAAAATAATGTAAAAAAATGAAAAACATATTACACATTTCAACACTATAAAAAGCAAATATCCACTTACCCTATTTAGAATTCCTTCGTCTTTAGTCTGTGGCACACAAAATTCCTTAATGACATCCAAAAACTTCCTAAAATTATCTGAACTGGAATCCATATATCGGCATTGCCACATCTAAACCTTTCTTCCTACAAATCCATTTAAATCTATCTAAACGGTTTTTATGTTCAACTAAATGCATATCCTGCTACATACAGGACACTTATAATGGCTACTAAGTAAACCTTCATTTACACACCAGTCAGTCAAATGCTCTTTTTCCCTTTTGTTCCAAATCGTAGAGAAGCTTCAAATTAATCTTACTACATTCAGCCATTCTACCATCTAAACACTAAAACCAACACACACCACAAAAGCGCTTACAAAACATCCCATGATTCAAAATTTCCCAGAATCATGCACCCGATTACGTCACAATACAGTTTCCATAACATTCAACTATTCAGGCTACCATAAATGAAACAACAACTTGGCGATAAAATGAAACAACTACTTCGCCATAATACAAGGGTACCTTAAAGTCTACTCTAACCGAAAGTAATGAAGCTGATGTTTTTAGATGGTAAGATAGAGCATGTTTATGCCTCTCGAGGCCACAATACTAGGTTTTGCCATCTCTATTAAGGTTAAACTTAGTCATGATTGCTTTATAGCTGCCATCACTTTAATTGTTACACCAGTGAGAAGATCTGAGCTAACTTAGTTTTAAATTAAATTGTATAATCTTTGACTACTAGTTAAGTTTTAATTTGGATTTAATTGTTATTTTAAGTTGCATTGCCACAAGTGGTTGGTGATCTTGTCAAGCATGAGAAGTGTATTTTATATTCAAGTTCTAATTTAATAAAAATGTTTGTTTTAAACCTTTCCAAGACTGTAGTTCTTTTCAGGTACAGTGATAATTCACTCAACATCTATTAGGAGTTTTATACTAGTTTATGCTACCAAAGAAAGTTAAACTATATAACTTATTTGATAAGAAATTATTTTTATTTCACTTGTTGAAAATATTTGTTTTGAGTCTTTGCACAAACATTCAAGTGAAATTCTTGAAAAGCTACATCTTGGGGGGGGGGAATCTTTTTTTATGAGAAATGAATAAAAGTTTCCACCTGATTTAATATGTAAGGAAATAATATCATAACAGAGTTTCTCCCTTATTATTTTGTACATCAACTTTGCTCTTTTGAATATATGATTTTAAGCTGTATGTCTTAAATTTCTGAGAATTGGTTCTTAATCCTAGAAAGCTAATCATTCGTAAATTTTACAACATCACTTGGTATGTTCCTTAAATTCCCTTACTCCCCTTTGAATAAATGGTTTTTCCTTTCATGTAACCTTCCTTTTTTTTTTTTTTTTTTTTTTTTTTTTTTTTTTTTTTTTTTTGTTACAAAAGAAGAACTTATGGTAGCTCTTTCGGTTAATCTTTGGAATATGGTAACAGGTAGTTTGGCGACATTTTGGTAAGGTGATAAAGGTTACTAGCTAGGACTTTAGCAGTGTACATGGATAAAGTCAAGAGTGGTTGCAATGCCATTTTTGTGCAATTCTGGGATGTTTTTTTAAGTGAAAATAGGTCGGCGTGTACATGGATACCGTGTATGAGCAATTCTTAAAAATGCGGCAAGCAGTTTTCGATTCTGCACTTTTTCCCAATTTCACACCTAATCTTTGTCATGATTAAGCATTTTTGTTTCATAAAAGTTCTAGCATAAGTGTAATTCGGCTAGCAGATTGTTGAAAAAAAAATGTTGAGTTAAAAAAAAAAATGCCTTTTCTTCGTGAAAACAAAATGGCGTCCAAACAAAAACTAGCAGGTTGCTGTAGCAGGGTTGGTCGCCAAATGTTCGCCAAAAAATCGCCAAGTTACCATAATCCAAAGATTAACTGCTCTTTCTATTTGAGACATCGGTATACACTGAAATGCTGTTCTATTTGACATTGAAACTTGCATTCCATGCTACTTGGATTGTTTACTTAACCCTTTCAACCCGACTTTTGCATGATTAAAATTGAACTATGAAAAATTGTTTAATTTAATGTTGACATACTAAAAAGAAGTATACAGTCAAAAGTCGTTAATTCAGACACCCATAATCCGGAATGATCTATAATCCGGACCTCAAAGCTACAAACTTTCTGCGGACGCATGCGCAGAAGACCTTTATGGCTGTGAATATACGAATACATTTACGAATGCGCGTTTAATGTATAACAGACGGTATAAGTGAAAATTATCTTATTCAGTTAATGTTGCAGATTGCGTTGTTCCTTAATCTTCGAATTGGATTCGACTTATTATTTTTTGCAGACTATTAAAACAATTTTATAAAAGTTAGCTTCAACTTTCGATTATGTCAAATAGAATTTCTGATATATATTTTACTAATGTAAAGGATCTACAAAGCGAAAGTATGTTTCGAAGTCCATTAAACAAAAAATGGATAAGAGCATATCCTTTGTTTATTTAAACTTTAACATTTGTTTATCTAAACTTTGTTTATCTTTAATGCTGTGGCGTGCAATGAATTGGAAGTTGATCTGTCAGTACTATCCTTATCTTCAGGGCGATGTTTTTATTTTATTTGGCTTATAATTCCTTACTAAGTGTAGTATTTCATCTTGATGTACTCCGTCTTTGATATAATTTAAATCAAATTCCTCGTCATTATAATTCGCTTCCGAAAGCGAAGAAAGTGACAGAGGTTATTGAAAACGAAAAAATTTCGATTGACAAATTAGTCGGTATTCTCGACACAGCAATTATAGGACTTGAACAGCAAAACTTTGTAACTGAACAAGAAATTATGTCTGTTTATAGAATTAAAGAGAATGTATTATCACATAAAAAACGAAACAACTTACATTGAAAGAAATGTTTAATAAAGTAAACAAATAAATATTAAGCTTTTTTTTTTTTTTTTTTTTTTTTTTGTAAATTTTGATACCCTTTAGATCATAATTGTTCTTTATTTCATAAATTACGGTTTCATATTTTTAATTTTATAACTTCTGCATGCCATCTTACCATATTTAAACTGATGATCTATAATCCGGAAAAATCGATAATTCGGAATCACCGAAGTCCCAATGAGTCCGGATTAACGACTTTTGACTGTAATATGAGTTTAAAGTTTTTAACTTTTCCAGTTTCTTGGAAATCTCCTGGGATAATATGTCCCAATCGTATTGTTAAATGGGGCTATTTGTCCCAATCATTTAGGATATTGTGATAACTTTACACTGCATGTGAATAAACAATAAAGTTAAATGAAATGTACCGAATATTTTATTCTTACAGTACAAGTTAAGTATGATATGGTGTAAAGTCTTTACAAAGTGCAACTTAACACATTTGGCAAATAGCGAGGTTTCTTTAGTCGTATATTTGTTCCCTAATTCATTAAAAACACTGCAAATGTAAAAACTCATTTAAAAGTGGGTTTTAGTTAGCCAATAGGGAATTAAATCTAATCTTTGGGACGTATGTGCCCATTACCACTGAAAGGGTTAATATTATTCAGTTACAACACTTGATATGTTCATAAATTTTATTAATGATTAACTTCTACATAAGTTATAATTTAGAAATTTATCTCAATTATCTTTAAGTCCCTTGTTTTCAGAATGATATATGAATATTTCAGAATGATATATTTCAGATATGATTGATGCTATTCCTTATGTTGGTAAGTCTACAAAATACCAAGGATCTCCCATTAGTTGAATATTTTGTAGAAGAGTTAGTTAAGTCTTTACATGGATCAGATCATAATATAACATATATAATTGGTTTATTTCTGTTTCAGTGGCCACTCAGCTTTTGAAACCATCTTTTAAATTTACCATGGTTGGAATTTTATGAATGAACAAAAGAGAAACTCTAAATGAATGTCTGAATGTAAAACTAGAAACAGGTACATCTGTCATTTCTTGATCTGCCTTCATAACAAAATAACTCTCCTGTCTTACAAGCCCAAGGCAAATAAAGTAGTTTCAATAACATAAAGATAAAAGTCATAAATGCAGAAAGTTACAAACTGGACTTTGTAGACTTTTAAAATTCTACAAAAGGTGGCATTACTTTTGACTGGATGTGCAGTCAAATATTTAGTAGTCGAAAAACAAGGCAATAACCCCTTTGTATTTTTTATGGAATTTCAAATATAACTTTAATATATTTCTGTGTTATTTATTGTCCCAATGCTTATCAGAAAAGGAAGAATTTTATATCAAAGGGAATTTATGAGAAATATAGGTGCAGAATAGATCAGACTTGGCTAGAGAAACGTCTTTATGATTTCACCTCTAAGCCACTCTCAGTGAGATGATATATGCAGAATGCTTAATGTGAATGATCGAAGACATCGTCAAGTAGAAGAGAAGTCAAATAAGAGGACAATATGTGCAATCTGCCCTTATTCTAAATGGCAAATGACCACAATGTACTGCAATCTGCCCTTATTCTAAATGGCAAATGACCACAATGTACTGCAATGTGTGGTGAACACAAGGTGCACACAAATTGTAATGAGAAGATAAAATAGTTATTTTCTTTGTATATGAAAATATTTTTCTATTAACCTTTTGATGTAAAATATTTTCAGAAAATTTTTAATTAAACCACATTTTGAATTAAAATGTTACTAGTCGTATTTTTTACAAATGTTTGGCTTCATCATTTCTGTGTAGTAAGGTTAGCATTCTGGGGTTAAACTAGTAGAACCATTCCAACTGTTTGGTTTAAAATTGTTGAGTATTTAAGTTGAATTTAAATATAAGATCAAATTATATTTATTTATTTTTATCAGTTATATTCACTTTCTGAAAGTATATTCATCACTTACTTCTCATGTATTTTATAAATATTCCTTAATTTTTAATCGGATCAGGTTTAAATGTGTGTTAAATATTTATCATTCAGTGTATTAACATTCTTGTCTTTATTTGATTAATTTTCAGTTATGGAAATGATTGATTTAACTTTTACACATTAATATATATATATATATATAAGTAAACAATTTAATTAACCGCATATATATTATATGGGAACAGTAATGAAATTGGGCCTTTTTTGAGTGTTCTGTAGCTGTAACTGATAATGGATTGATACCAGAATTTATGCGTATATATGTGCGTATTTTACATTTTAATCAGGTATTTATTCTGAAAAATCAGTCAGTAAATCTATTTATAAGTATATTTTTGTTTCTTTTGTTTTGATGAAAATTTTACAATAATCTCGGTTAAGAAGTGGTTCAAAGCAATTGCTCCATTTAGCAGTTTTGAAACAAAATACTATATTCCTGCATAATTTTTACTGTAGTTTTTTCCATTACAGGCAACTGCCACAGGTACAAAAAAAAGCTTAATATTTATTTGTTTACTTTATTAAACATTTCTTTCAATGTAAGTTGTTTAAGTTGTTTCATTTTTTGTGCTAATTCTTTCTCTTTAATTCTATAAACAGACATAATTTCTTGTTCAGTTGCAAAGTTCCACTGTTCAAGTTCTGTAATTGCTGTGTCAAGAATACCGACTAACTTGTCAATCGAAATGTTTTCGTTCTCAATAACTTGTATGTCACTTTCTTCACTATTGGAAGTGGTATTTTCTGGATCTAGAACCATACTACAGATTTCGCCGTCTGCTAATTGATTGATGATTGGGGCATTGTCATCACAATGAAAAACTTCTGTTATATCATCTTCATTTATTACCGCTTCTCCACATTTCTTTACAAAATCCAATAACTGGAAAATTTCACCTTTAGTTTGCAATGTCCAAAAACCTTCATATTTGCGGCTATCATCTTCATCGTCCTCACCATGAAATATGGTAGCTGACCATAAATTATGCCAAGCATTTTTTAATGTATCTGGAGACTCATCCTCCCAACGCGCATGCGTAAAGCATACAAAAAAAAGTTTCAGGTCCGGATAATGGACGTCTGGATTACGGACTTTGTACTGTATATTATATGTAATAGAATTTGTAGTAGACGGAGGCAGTTGATCTGTAATGAATGATGAGAATTTTGATGTCATAGAATGTTGATATGTTGATTCGCAATGAATAAGAAATTTGCAGCCAAGGTATATTTAATTCAACTTTTATTTTAGTAAACATGTTGTGGCCATAATCAAGTTGACACATTAATTGTGCCTATTCCAGAAAGCTTACATTTTTGATAGATTTTCAGTAAAAAAGAAGGTACAGACAGACTACAGTCAAGCTAGGCAAACATAATGGAAGCATGGAAAGAAAGTGCATTATGTTCAGGGTGAAATCTTGATTTAGATTGAGTTAGTTTTGGTTCTCAAAACATTTTGATTGGATAGGTAATATTGCTATAAAATTACTATTGGCTGTCAGAGTTTTACTTCCATTTCCATTATCAGAATTACGTAAGAATCATATGACATGGATTAGTTTTGAAACGACTGACGCAGTGCTACTATTTTTAGGATACAGAAGCGAAATTTACATTGCTAATTTAATCTTTTATATATTCTATATTTTTTATATATGTGTGCATCTTAAAAAAATCTCAAAAAAATTAAGGTAATATATTAGAAGTATGTAAATCCAAGTATGAAGCACGGAGGGGCATTTTGCCATTAAAGTCAAGAAAATGCCTCTTTCTTATGGCAGTTTTGGGAAATTCAGGCTTTCTTAGTGAAACCTTTGCTGGTCAGATCGTTAAAAATGAGCTTAAGGGAAAAAATATCACTGTTTCTGTAAAAAAGAAAAAACCCTACAAACTTAGAATGCAGTTAAATTCCTAGGGTTTGTTGCACACAAAAATGGCAAAATTTTTTGTTAAAACTGAGGAACTGATAAGAGAATGGTTTATGCTGATACATTTTTAAAAATTTGCCAATTTCTACAAAGGTTGGAGTAATATGCATGTTCTCACCCCCCCCCCCCCCAAAATAATAATAATGTTTTTTGTTAAGAAACAAACAACTATTGCAGAGAACACATAATTTGATTTACTTAAATGCATGATTCATACACAGTAACACTGCAAAGTCTTTAAAAGTTGAAGACAGTGATAAATAATCTGTTTAATTGCTGATGACAACTGAACCTCTGTGATTCTTTTAACTTGTGGTAAGGTATCCTGTTTTATTTGTTCCAGAGCTGCTTCTATGCATTCTTCAAATGTGTTTCATAGCCAGAAATTATAGAAATTGAGATCTGGTGTACTTGGTAGCTTGCCATGAAAATGAATGTTTACTGATATACTGATTAATGGAATATTTGAGAAAAAACTGTTGTATGTGATGTCCAGCTTGGAGTGCATCACTTTTACTTAAATTTCATAAATACGGGACACTAATTTTACTAAAGTTTTGTAAAGATATTTGCAGCACATTATAATATCTATCAACCATCAACAGGTGCATCATAAGGCCATTAGTTACTGTTTCCATGAAGAGGAATGTTTTAAGGATAAATGTAAAAGGGAATTTATATTCTGAAACCTGTGGCAAATGCATAAGTATTTTCCTGAAAACGTGAATTTTCCTCAGTTCAAATGCAGCAAATCTTGAGTATTCATGATGCCATTGCAATCAAAATACCAGATAACTTTTATCTAACACTAACCAAAACAAATTATCATTCCAAAGATCATGTCTGTGATATTTCTTAATGATTATGTTAGAATATTTCTTTCATATTAAACTGTAGTCGATGCTGCTCGATTTCTAAAATAAAGTGATTTATGTACTCTGAATTTTCTTTTCATTTTAATTATAAATTATTTTCATAAAAAGAGTGTAAATCATAAAATATTTTCTTACAGTAATTAAAAGTCGTCTGTTTGGATATTTTTGCCCCTTTGCTTTGGATGCCTATTTTCTCTTTCTCTGAAGCTCAGTTATATTTTCCAGTGTAAGTATTATCTTATATATCTTAAATGTTTTGAAATGAGAAAAATTAATTCATTTAAATATATTTAATATTATGTAATGTAATGTGAATTTAGGAATCATATAATTTTGTAATGTGTGTGTATGTTTATGTGTTTTTAAACAAAAATTTCTGAAGTCAAAAATAAATCCCAAGATGAATTATTATTTGTCATACCTTTTTTTTTAAAAAAAATTCATTAAATAATGTTTTTTCAATACTGATTATCCTTCATTTTTTTATTTTTTTTAAAGATTTAAAAACTACCTCTCATCTCTCTCTAATGTAAAGCGATTCCCTAACCAGTAGTTGCTGATTTGTTAATTTTATTTTCTTAATTTGCATAGAGTAATGAAAAGAAAAATATAGCTTATTGCCCTGATGCACTATAATGTTGGTTAGTTAATTTGTTCAGGGTCAGATTTATTTGCCACTTAACCATACTCGGCCACTTACCGTACCTCATTTAGATTAATTTAATTTGTTAAATTTTTAAGCTGACATTGTAACACTCAAAACAGAAACATTTCACATACACAAGGTATAATTCTTGATTAGCAACTGGACTGCAAATTCAAACATCAAATGCTTTGGGGGGTGGGAAAAGAAAAAAGGGAAAAAAACAACTCCCATAATATTCATCAATAAATACCATATGTGAATTTAAAGAACTGTCAGGAAGCCTGCGAGTGCAGAACATGCCTTTAGCCTTATGTTTATATAGTGCATGTGAGTCATCTTTGTCTCATTTTGAGTAGAACTTACATGTTTTTCAAATCCTATGTACATGTGATAATGATTTAGATGTAATAAACTGCTTTCTTATTGTGATACAACTACGTTACTATTGAAATAAGATGACTTGGTGAGAGTAAAGTTGCAACAGATTGGTGTTGGAGGGGACTGCATCATAACTAGAAGACTTTGTTGCATAGTTAGTGCTGTGTATTCTTTGGTGGATAATTATTTCACAAGATGCTGTATTAAACTACATGCTTTTTTATTATGTACAAAAGATATCATCCTCGTTTACACACGTAATCTACAACTACTTGCATTCCAGTCTTAGTTCTGGTTTACTATTACTGCGCATGCCTGCAATTTTTGGCACAGTGCCAGTTTTAAGTTTGATTATGATTAAGTTCTCAATATACCACATCCCTCCCCCTTTATCAGAACTACAGTCTATCTGGGAGACGTTGAATTCTACTGGACCGACACTAAGGTTGTGGCACTGCTGGTTTCTTTGGTAAGCTGGTTGTATCACCAGCAGGTCCAGTGGATGGAACATCAGGTAAAAGCTTAGAAGACAACACAGACTCATCTGCCTGTTGGCTATTATGTTCCGGATGGTTCTGGAACTCCACTCTTATCAGGCTCTGTGGAAATCACGAGAGCTGGAGATGGACGTATGAACCCCTTATCTGTTATGGTTCCTCCATCTTGCATCTGATCGATATGTTGTTGCCATAGCTGAACATCTACATTTATGGAGTAATGAAGCTGCCCATCCTTGGATTGGACGGTTCCAAACCTCCATCATCTGTCACCTTGGCAATAATTTCTTACTGCCACTCTATCGCGAACTCTAAATTGTCAGTCTGCAAACTCGTAAGTTCCTTTTCGAACTCTTGTCTTCCACCCTCTTTTTGATATCTGGTCTCAATAAATCTGTTCTTGTTCAAATTTCCCTCTTCAGCATTAGCATTGCAGGGCTCTGTATAGTAGTTAAATTCAGAGCTTTCTTATATTGCATAAAAAATGTACTGAGTTTTTGTCTCGATGTTCCTGGATAATTTTGCATTGTTCTTAAAGATTGTTTTTGCTGTAAACACGTACCGTTCAGCCTGCCCATTACTAGATGGTTTAAATGGGGCTGTAGTTTTGTGTTTGATTCCGTTACTCTATAGAAATATCTTAAACTCATGTGAAGTGAACTGTGGCCCATTATCACTCACTAACAATATTGGTAATCCGAATCATGCAAAAATGTCTTGTAAACATTCTATTGTTTTGAAATTCGAGCTTGATTTCATTGGATAGGCTTCTAGCCATTTTGAGTGAGTATCAATGATTATCAAAAACATATGCTCAGAAATAGGTCCTGCATAATCAATGTGAATACGTTCCATTGGTGCGCTCGTGTACTCCCAATAATAAACTTTTACCTTAGGAGGATCTATTTTATGTTTTGCACATTCAGAACAGTTTTTGGAAGTATTTTCAATATCTTTATATATCATTCCAAAACACATAAGATTTAGCAATTGCTTTCATCTTTATATTCCCTAAATGTCCGTGGTGCAATTCTTTCAAAACATTCTCACGGTATCATTTTAGAGTACAAGCACATTGACCATACATTATACAGCCATCTTGGAGACTATACTCTATCTCTTTTCCTTTCAATTCACTGTCGCTTTGAAGTATTCATAGGAGAGGACTGATTTTTGCACCAATTTCAGTTTCTTTAGCCAAATCACTTACAATGATTGGAAGAGTTTCAATCTGCTGTAATTGAAAAATAGTTACATCATCCTGAATAGACAGTTGCTTTGAGTTCATCGATAATCATGATAGAAAGTCAGCATTACCATACTCGTTTGTTTTACGGTAAATAATGTCAAATTGGAATGACTGTAAAGCCAAAGCATAATGCAGGAGTCTTGTTGCTGCCAAAACTGGCATGCCTTTCTTTAAGCCAAAAATTGCAATAAAAGGCTTATGGCCTGTAGTTAACGTAAATTCCCTGCCTTTTAAGTACAGAAAAATTTTTTTAGTTCCCCAAATGATTGACAAAGCTTCTTTATCGGTTTGAGAATATTTTTTCTCTGTTTCAGTCAGTGTTCTAGAAGCATGTGCAATTGGCCTTTCTGTTCCATCAGGAAGTTTGTGAGAAAGTACCACACCTAACCCTACAGGTGATGCATCAGTTGCCAATGTTAAAGGTAATTTTAGATCATAATGCATCAAAATTTTTTGTGAACACAATTCTTTTTTAATGTTTAGAAAAGCCTCCTGTCAATTCCCATCCAAACCCATTTTGAGTTTTTCTTAGTTGGTATAAGGGATTTGCGACTGTTCCTAATTTAGGGCAAAATTTTCCATAAAAATTAACCAATCCCAAAAAAACTTTGAATTTCCTGGACATTTCTGGGTCTTGGGGCTTTTGCAATCACTGATATTTTGTCATTGGTTTTATGTAAACCTTTAGCATCAATTTTATGACCTAAAAATTGTATTTCATCCTGAAAAAATTTACTTTTCTCTAAATTAAATTGCAGTCCATGAGTTTTATATTTCTCGAAGAAATTTTTTAAAGTATTTAAATGTGCCTCATCATCAGACCATGTTATTTGCACATCATCCATGAAGACTTTACACCCTTCTATTTCATGGAATAGTCCGTCTACATAACATTGCCAGATTGCCAGCACTGCATTTAGCCCAAACATTAATATCTTACACTTATATAATCCCTTCTGTGTGTTTATTGTTAGCAATTTTTGAGTCTTGGGGTGTACTTTCATTTGTAAATAAGCATGTTTAAAATCAGTTTTTGAAAAACGCTTTCGTCCGCTCAAACATGAAAATATTTTTTCAGTGGTCAGCAAACAGTGTTGATGCTTAACAATATTTGGGTTTACTGTCACTGAGTAGTCGGCGCACAGTCATATAGAGCCATCCGGCTTAATTACTAGTACCACCGGAGTTGTCCATTCTGATGTTTCAACCTTTTCGATTATACCCTCTTTTTCCAAGCGATCAATTTCTTCATCTAGCCGGCCTTTTAACGCAAGTGGTACTTGCCTAGCTCTACAAAATTTTTGTGAAACATTTGGCCTCATTTCAAGTTGAACCTCATAATTTTTTTATCACCTAATTTTCTGTCAAAAATCTCTTTAGATTGTTCCAATAATTTATTTATTTAAACTATCCTTTTGAGAGACAGAAATTGACTTTATTGAGGACCAATCTAAATTTATCTCTGAAAGCCATTCTCGACCAGATATTGTATCAAGGTTTTCTTTAACAATGTAAAGTTTTAAGTTTTTATTTTGACCTTTATATTCTATCTTAAATGTAGTAAATCCTAAAGGTATCATTTTTTCTCCATTATATGTTTTAAATACCAGACTTGTATTTTGAATTTTCTTTTTCGAAATTTTCCGGAAATTTTTTAAACTTGTTACCGACACTGCACACATTGTATCCAGTTCCATAGCTGTCGGTTTTCCTTCTATGTTCACTTGGACCATTATGGGCAGTTTCTTATTTTTTACCTCACTGGATTATATGCTGTTTATAGCAACAATCCGATTATGATTAATTTCTCAGTATACCACAGTTAGAACGATGGATGCTCGAAAAACACACATAATAGTAAATTCCACCATTCCATTTTGTATGGCCTGCACAGTGCTGATGATGTAATAATTGGGAACTGAAACTTCATTCTATTCTTTTCCTATGGGAACAATATCAAAAATATAAACTTTCTTGAATAGGCACGACTAGAGTGCCAAGTGAACTGTGGTCACAAATGTCAATTGCAAATAAAAATGAAATTAACACTGTCTCATCTGCTAAGTTTTTTAGATATTACGAAGTCAACATATTAGCATACTACACAATCAGAGTTTTTCCTCTTCAATATGGATCTATGATCTATAATATCTAGGTATTACGCATCGGTGCTGCTCCGTTTTTTCCTTCCTGTTATTACATACATATAATGCAATCTTGTGGCAAAAATATTAATTTTTAAAATCTTCCAAAACTCTGACTTGAATATGTGACGCACAGGGGTGAATAAGAAAATGATCTGTCACACTGACATGCCAACCAGAAAATGAATGCGCTTCATTTAGGCACATCTGCATGACAGTCGGCATCAAATCATTAAAACTGAATCATAGTGCTTTTTGCATCTGTATAAAATACCTAAACAAAATATACTACCTTCTGCTGTATGACTAGTCTGCTTCAGGTGTAATTAGTAAGGATTAATACTATATACTTATGTATACATTCATAACACTCACTAATAAAATTGTCTGTTGACAGCTAATTTGCTTATATAGTTAATCAATATATATTTTTTAATTTCTTGAGAAAATTACAATTAAAAGTTTAATGTGTATAATTTATAAGCTAATGCAAGTATTAAATTTCATCAAAAGAAACTAGTTTAATGATGAATAAAATATTTTTTATATTTTTTATCAATTTTTACTGTGATATGTAACCTAACACATTTTCTGATACTTAGTAGGCCATGTTATGGTCATTTTCTTACTACTTTTGAAATTGTGATTCCATATTGCTGAAAAAAGACATTACATCTTTTTCCATTTTTGGATATGGAGAATTAAATTAAAAGATAAATTTTTGCCTTTAATGGTATTATGCAATGCAGTGTAGAAAATTCAAATCCCTTCTTTTTATTTATTACCCATGAGTTTCTGCAAATCATTTATAACTTGTAGCAGCTAAAATAAGATATGGAATTTATGGGTAAGTGCAAAGTCTTTGCCAGAAAATTTAAGCATTGTTCTGTCCCAAAAGTATAATCAATTAATGATATGTAAGAATTTCTGCCCCCTAAAGACAAAAATTTACCATTAATTTATATTCTTAACAGGTCACACATATATGCTTGAATATTCCGTAGATTTTGAAATTCAAGATTTACTTCTGTATTAAAGACTTTAGCTAATCTTCGGATTATGGTAACTTGGCGATTTTTTGGCGACCATCCCTGCTACAGCAACCTGCTAGTTTTTTTTTTTTTTTTTAACTCAACATTTTTTCCAACAATCTGCTAGCCGAATTACGCTTATGCTAGAACTTTTATGGAACTTACTCATGGTGCTTAATCATGACGAAGATTAGGTGTGAAATTGGGAGAAAAAGCAGAATCGGCCACTGCTTGCCGCGTTTTTAAGAATTGCACATACTACACGGTATCCATGTACACGTCGACCTATTTTCACTTAAAAAAACATCCCAGAATTACACAAAAATGGCATTGCGCACACTCTTGACTTTATCCATGTACACATCGACCTATTTTCACTGAAAAAGTCTAAGAAAATTGACAAAAATCCAATTTTTCATACTCTTGTAAAAAGCGCCAAACAAATAAGTGGGCGATTCTGCACTTTAGCAGTGAAATTGTTTTTAAGTGCTTTTTAGTTAAAATCACGATCGGAATTTTCCGAAAAATGTCACATTACATGTCTCATGAATCATGATCTCTCATTTCTCTAAGACAATATAATCTGTGATTCGAACTGTGTACTTCTCAGATTATTGCTAAAGTCCTAGCTAGTAACCTTTATCGCCTTACTAAAATGTTGCCAAACTATCTGTTACCATATTCCAAAGATTAGCCAAGACTTTTATTTATCTTAAATCTGTAAATAATTTTGAAACTTTGGCTTTTGGTATCATGATTCTATTCATTGTAATCATTTTAAATTTTCAGTTATTTAGGTATAGTTTTCCATGTTAATGGAATAAAATTAATGTTAGAATATCTTATTTACAATACCTTGTTATAGTTTCTATAGAGAGATTTATGTATGTATATATATATAATTCATCAAAAGATAAAAAATCATATTTTGCTATTCGCTGTCTCACTGCTATTTACTTTTTATTTCTCTTTGCTAAGTAACAAGGTAATACAATCATAATATCACATAGAGTCACCTGTTAATTTTAACCATAATGAAAAAACTGTCTGAAAGAATTTTGTATAATAACAACTATGATTCATTATGCATAATAATTATCTTTTCAAGAGCTCTCTGTTAGAATTTATATAGTTTTTAGTTTTTAGAAATTAAGAATTAGCTTCTTATATTTCATATTTTTTTAATTTTGTACAAGCTTTACCTCATTTTTATGACAAAAATTTGTTCATAGGATTTCTGAATTGTGATTGCTAAGAAAGTTGGATTTTTTTTATTCCAAAAATACTATTTGGTAAGTGTATGCCACTATTATTATTTGGAACAAACTGATATTCATGCAGTTGGGAGGATTGAAGGTGTTTTATTGTCATTTTGCTGTTTATTCATGACACTGGAAAAATAAAATAATAATAGTAGTAGTAATGAGGTATTTTTTCTGCAGACATCAAATTCTTAATAGTACTTTTTGTCCTGATTTCAAATCTGTCCACCAGCTTTTCCTGTCAAGTATTTTTTGGGGTAACCAACTTTTTATTTCTTTATTAAAATTGTTTTGGCCTTGGCAGGTGTGAATAATCAACGGGTGAATAATTTCTGCATCAAAAAGAATATCCAAATATATTTTTTCAGGGAAGGGGTCTGATAATCGTGGTAGATGAGGAGAAGTCTCATAGTGTGGGTTATATATATATATATAATGTATATGTTATATATGTGTGTGTGTAGTTTTAACTGTTGTTCTTGACAAATATATTTATCAAGAAGAACACATTGTCATGAAGCCTTATAACTCCATCTCTGTAGACCTGTCTAGATCATTCAAGGCATTCTTTTAATGCATTTCAGAAGGTTGAGGCAGTTCTGCTCAGTATCAATAGTTTTTTTCAATTTTTAAGAAGGAATAGTCACCGAGCAATCACCATTATCTTCCTTATATTTTAGGGATATGTTTTAATTGTAATACCTGACCAGCTGGGCTGACTGTTAATGATTATTGTATATCTACAATAATATATTTTTCATCTCATTTGTAATGTATTTTTCATTCAATTATACAAACCATTGATGTATGGTTGATTTGTGAGCTTCCAAGATCTTGTCTTTCTCTATGTTATGTAACAAAATTCCTTGATTCTGAAATAACGCTTACCAGGAGCCAAGCAGTAAAGTTGCTGAGCGCCTGAGTTCAATCCCAGACGAATGGGCTGGCTGCATTGGAGCTTTCTTTCGTGGTTTTCTCCATGTGTAATATGTATATGATCCAGTTTCCCCTTGAAAGTCCTCCACGAAAGCATACTTTGCCTTAGACTTATAGCCCTAGCGTGCTTTGCTGTAATCTTAATAAAACAAACCAAGCCATGTTTCTGAGTGGCCTTGTTGCATTGTGGCTAAGTTAAAACTCAAATAAAAAGTATGTGGAGGTATTTAAACTTTAATATTCAATATACTAGATACATTTGGTGGTATTTCTTAACATCATTTTATCTCAAAATCCAGCATTCAATGTGCAGTAACCCAGTACTTCTGTGAGCCTTGTACTTTATGTTAATTTCCTTAGAGAAAAATTCTACTTGGTTTTCTTTGATTATTTGCCACTGCCATATCTCTTTTAGAGTTCAGCAATACTTGATTAAAATTTTTAAGTTTCATTTTTCTTCAAAATGTGTTCATTCTACATCCATATGATAGAAACAACATCAGTGCTCCTCATTTAATAGTTGCTGAATTTTTAGGGGAAAAAAATTAAAATTTGGAGTTCAGAAAATTAATCTTAATTGATATGTTACAAAGTTTTATAGTTCTGAGGTAGTTTACTGAAATGAAATCTTGCTAGAACCATTTCAAGGGACCCAAAGTTTCATTTGCTATATCTGATCTGATTTTTTTTTAAGGTGTCATCTCTTATAATATAAAAATTGATTGATGAATGACACAGAAAGAGTGATTAGCATTCCATTTCTTCCAAAAGAAGTTAATAATAAAACTTGATTTTTAAAATATCACATTAAGAGTTAATTACTAGTATTAATATGTGTTCATAATTTTACATGATAAATTATTTTGCATAAAAGTGACCCATTTGCCTAATTACATGTTTCCATCTGAAGTACTCATTTATAATTATGATTAATCTTTTTATACACCATTACTCATGTTAATTTCTATCACAATATTTTCATCACTCAGATCTTCCAATGACAGTGTCATTATTACATGTTTGCAAAAGCTGTATACCACATTCTGAAAACAGTGAAATACATTTTTTATGGCCACTTATCAGTAGCAAATCCTTGTTTTCATCACCTATCAGTAATTAAGCACTAATAGTTCAACCCAGGTTCAAATCCTGGCAAACAGGCAGGTTGCATGAGTGTTTTCGAGTTTTTACTCAGATGTAATGTGGGTTTCCCTCAGAAAGTGCTCTATAAAGGCACTCTTTTTCTTAGGTAGATTGCCGTCATATGCTTTGTCGTTGTAATAGTCTCAACACAGATTAATTTAAGGGTGAGTAATTTTTCAGCTGAAAATTACAGAAGTTCTGGTTGAAAGTCTAAAGCAAATTCAGCCAACAGTATGCGCGAAGGTCACAATGAACGATATTGCAACCACCAGCCCTAACTGCTATTCTGATGAGGACAGCTTTATTTTGGTAAAACACATTTTTAAGAATGAACTTTTTAAGTGCTGAAGAATGATTTCAGTAGTGGAATTTTTAGATGAGGAGTTATAATTGATTTTGTAAAAAGGGAAATTATAATTTGGAATTGCATTTTAATAAATTTTTGGAAAGCAAGTTGTGTCTTTTGAAAAAAAAAAATTGTGGAGAAGGCTAAAAAGCTATATCACATAGTGATCTATGTGTTTAACTAAAAAAAATGAAGTACAGGGTGTGGCTGAAAAGTTAAATGATGTTTATGTGCAAAATGTAAGTCACTTTATTGCACAAACAGTTTCATTTCTAGTTACAGTTACATTACATACAAAAGTGAAATGCATGGTAGTTACTTCGTGAAAATAATGTCTCAGAGATCAAACACATTGCTGCATAGCTCTCATCGTTTTTTGCAACATGTCTAGTGGGTTTTGCAACATGTCTAGTGGGTTTGCAACATGTCTAGTGGATTGCATGTCAAATAGAGTCACACAAATCAGGCAAGGTTCCAGGTATTGTCACATAGAATTTTTTTTGTTAAAGAAACCGCATGCTGACAAACCTGATGAATGTACTGGCTATGCATCACTGTTACAAGAGATAATCCCCCCCTAGAAACATGCTGTGAAGTGTCATCATGGTTGCATTGGTTGTGTGCTATGTGACTATCTTGTTGAAACCAAACCTAAGATGGTACTTTGTCAGTTGTAGCATTAGAAAATTTTCCAGCATGGACACATACTAAGTGGATGCAGCATTCACAGCATGTTCATCTTCATCTTGGCAAAAAATGTGGTCTAAAAACTCTATTCTAACATGCATCACACTGTTACTTTTGGCTTATTGAGGGCCACCTCATGAATCAAACTTGTGTTTTGGGGTGCCCAATAACAACAATTGTACTTATAGACACATCCATTGATGTGGAAGTATGCCTCATTAGACATGATTAACTTATGCAAAATGCTTGGGTCCTCTTCCATTAGTTCTATTAACAATCAACAAAACAGAATGTTTACATTGTAATCTTGAGGCTACAACTGATTGAACTAATTGCAGTTTGTAGGATGAAAGTTTAAGTCCTGGTGTAATATCCTTCACACACTTCTATCTGGCATGGCATAGTGATGTGCAGAATGCTTGAGACTTCATAGTATTGCCTCTTACATCCTTTCTATATTAGCCTGAGTGCACACAGAACATGGGTGACTTGGTGATTTCTTTATTGTGGCTTAAGAAGCTGCTCATAAATTCTTCACCGAATTCAGAATAATTTGTCACATTGGCATTTTCCTATTTCTTCTAAAATCGAAATAATGCTTGAACTTATGCTATGATATTGTTGTAGAGTCCTTGTTCTTGAAAGAACACTCAACAGCAAACACATGTGTTCATTAGATCTATGCTACATGGCTACCGACGTTGTGTGTGAGAAGCTACACGTGTCTGTACATGTGTGTTGTTCCAATCAGTCACCTACTGAGAGCTTTGAACCTGTTAACAAAACAAGAAACAACACACTAGTTATTGTGATATGTCTGCCTCGCTAGGCTTAAGTTGTCGTACTTTTTGTACCACATTTTGTAATTTTATAGATTTTTATTTTAATTAAAAGTTGTCAAAACATTTATGTTATGAAAGATTGTTTCTGTAATACAGCCCAGAATGACTTTTTATGTATTTTGTACCTTTCCTTTTTATATAAAATCTCAAATCTTATAGAAACTTTCCTTTCTCTTAAATAAAGTTTGTTTATTTATTTATTTTTTTTTTCAATTTATGTATCAAATTTCTTTACCATTTACCTAACTTTAAATATTTGCTCTCTCAACAGGAACTGTGAAGAGATCTCATTCTTTGGAACTTTTGTGTGGTAAACATATCCGTTTGCTTGTAGTTAAATATTTGAATCATCTCTGATTTTACAATGTCAGAAAAATTATCTCTTTTAAGTGACTCTTCAGACTCAGATCTTGATATTAAAATCAATAAAAGTTATGCTGATAATTATGATGTCTGGAGAAATAAGGAAGAAATGCAAAAGCTTAAAGATCTCCAAAAAGATATCAGTGAGACTTCTTCATCTGAAAGTGAAGAAGAAGTTCCAGATATTAATGATGAAGTTTTCCTAAAGAATCTGAGTCTTCTAAAAAGTAAAGATCCAAAGATATATGATGAGAATACCAAATTCTTTGAAGAAGAACAGGTTGAAAAAAAACCTAAATCTAAAAAACCGAAACCATTGTATATGAAGGATTATGAAAGGAAACTTGTACTGGAAAGACATGGGCAGTTTAGTGAAGATGAAGAACACATTCCAGCTAAAGGTCCTACTTATACAGAGGAACTGGAAGAAGTAAAAAAAAGTTTTAAAGCAGCTGTTGGAAGTTCTGATGAAGAGGAAGAGGATGATGCAAGTGATTTACTGCAAGTCCGTCAGAAAACTGAGAAAGAAGAGGAAGATGAGGAGGCTGCTTATTTAAAATGGTTGAAAGGCCAAGAAAAGGAGGTACCAAAAGATATTAAGAAAGAAATGTCTTTTTTGAGGAAGTTTTGGAATGATCCAAACCTGGATGAAAATGAGAAATTTTTGAGAGATTTTATTTTAGATAAGAAATATAAAGAAGAAGATAAAAATGATGAGATTCCTACTTATGAAGAAATTACAGATATTGCAATGCTCAGTGATGATGAAAAAGATATGCAAAAGCAAGAATTGTTTGAACATAAGTATAATTTTCGGTTTGAAGAGCCGGATTCAGAATTCATTAAACGCTATCCAAGGACAATAGGAGATTCTCTCAGACGTGTTGATAATAAAAGAAAGAAGAAGCGTGAAGAATACGTTGAAAGGAAAAAAAAGGAGAAAGAGCAGAAAAGAGAAGAATTAAAACGTTTAAAAGCTTTAAAGAGAAAAGAACTTGAAGAAAAATTTTTAAAGTTGAAAGAAGTGTCTGGACAAGATGAATTGAACCTTGATGAAAATGATATAGAGAGTGACTTTGATCCTGAAAAACATGACCAGAAAATGAAAGAGCTCTTTAATGATGATTATTATGCTGTTCAAGAAGAAGAACGTCCAAATTTTCCATATGATGAGGAACTTGATAATGAAGATTGGGACCATTGGACTGGACCAAGTAAAAATGATGAGTGTGGAGAAGAACAGCTTGAAGAAAGTGCTTCTGAAGAATCAGATGTTGAGGTTACAAATTCTAAAAGTGATTCTAAATCAGAGTTTGAGAAAGAAATGATTGAGTCAACTCACACAGGAAGGAAAAAGGTTAGAAAGAAATCTTTATTCGCTAAAGTAGTTTCTAAACCTAAACCAATTTTTGATCCTGATGGCAAAACATTTGATGACTACTTGGACGAGTATTATAGGTTAGATTATGAAGATATAATTGGTGATATGCCAGTCAGATTCAAATATAGGAAGGTAGTGCCAAATGACTTTGGACTGACAGTTGATGAAATTCTTACAGCTAATGACAGAGAATTAAATCAATGGTGTTCTGTCAAAAAAACATGCCAATACAGAAATGAAGATGAAGAACTTTATGATGTGCAGGCATTCAAGAAAAAAGCACAAAATATGTCCACAAAGCAAAAGGTTTTAGCCAGTGTGTATTCAGAACCTGATCAAAAAGAAATAGAACCAGCATCCAATATAAATAATAGAAAGAAGAAAAAATCTAAGAAAAAGAAGAAAAATTTGGATAAAAACAATGTTGAAGTATCATGTTTGAATGAAAAAAATGATGTTCCCTCAACTTCTGAAGTTGGTGAAGTCAGTTTTGAGAATGAAAATACTAGTAATAAAAGGAAGAAAAAATCTAAGAAAAGAAAGAAAGATTTGTGTGAAAATAATGTTGAAACATCTGCTTCAAATGAAGAACATAATATTTCTTCAATTAATGAAACTGGTGAAATTAGTTCCGAAAATGAGAGTAGTAGTAGAAAGAAAAAGAAAATCAAAACAGAGAATAATCAAAATAATTCCAAAAAATGTGAATCTGTGCCTGTTTCATCAAATGAAAAAGAAGAAACTGAAACTTCATTTGCGAATGGGGACTTAAATGATGAGAAAAATCAGAATAACACAAAATCATCGAAACGAAAACGTAAGAAAAAGAAAAAGTTTCATCAGCAGTCTGATAATGTATTATTTAAACAGAACATTTCTCAAAGAAATCATTCTTCTAATAAAAAAGGACATTTTGAGCTGCCTGTAGGAGACAAAAGACTTGCTGTATCAGATGAAAGGTTGGCTGCATATGGTATCAATCCAAAGAAGTTTAAGAGCAAAATAATATATTCCCAAAAATAATTCATTAATAAATTCTTTTATTCTATAAGCTCTCTCAGCTGATGTTTTTTTGGGTTATTTTTCGTTTATTTTTATATATTTTTTTAATTGCTGGAAAGCGCATTAAGATTTACACAAGTAAATAGCATGAAACTGCTAAAATATTGTGCATATTTTTTTAAACTATAAAACCTGTATTTGTTCAAAGCCAAAGGTGTATGCTTTCAAAAAGAAAGAAACAAATTCAAACAGGAAAATTACATAAATTCTCATTGTTAGTAATTTCTGAGCTTGGTGAACAGAGTAAATTTACATCCATCAATAAAGGAAACTGCATTTTCTTTCTCTTAGCCTGCATCTTTCATTGATTAGTACGAATTCATGCTTTCTCCTCTCTTTCTTCTGAAGATAATTTTTCAAAAAAGTATCTTTGGAATTGCAAGCTATAAAATAGTTGTGAAAATTTATTATGAAAGAAAAGTCTCTTTGAAATTGTAAGCTATAAAATAGTTAAAATATTTCTTTGATGCATATATTTTTATTATCCTATTTGGTAAATATAGGTTAAATTATGAGTTGCGTACATAAAAATAGTTGTGTAAGCCACTGAAATTAATTAGAAACAGTTATATATGTTATCTCATTAAAAGTGACCATTTTCTTTCATTGTTTAAAACTGAATTGTTAGTTTATAAATAATAGTTCTTTATTTATAATACTATGGAGGAAAAACAGCTTAATCTAATAAATGTTGTGTTATGTGATGTCAGTAAAATATAGGTACACAGAGGGAAAATAAGAGCAGTTTTGTAATTTTGTAACCCCTCTTCTAGTCTAGTGCTTCTCAGTGTGGATTCCAACCCTATGTGGGGTTGCCTAACTAAATTTGAGGATCGCAGGTATTGTAACCCCCCCATTCCCCCCCAAAAAAGTTCTGGACAAGCATTGGCCAAAAATCAATTCAAAAACCAATTTGCTAATATAACATGTATAATTTGCCTTTGAGTTTATGATGATAATGAAAGAGTATTGCGCCTTGTCTAGTGGAGATGATCACTATGCCTTTACTGACTAATGTCTGAAATCAGTGATACTTCAGTTGTTTATTCTGGCATACATAGAGAAAGAGTTATCTGCTCTAGCCAAAAGCCGGAAGGAACTTCGTTAAGGCCCTGACATCGTGAATAGTCCCAAGAGTGAGATTTCTGTTGAGATAGAATTGGAGCAGGACTCATATCAGGGATGGCTATGGATGGCTTCCGATTAGTAAATTTTTTACTGAACAGTGCACCACGTTTTTATCTCCAACAAGAGATGCTAAACTTGTATACTTTCTTTTTGGCACTGGTTTCAAATTAACGTAACTATTATCTATTTGCTTTGTTGGGAAAGAAAAAGGCTTTTCAGAGCTTATTAGTTCTTTTTTGCTAAACTGTTTCTTTTATGAGAAAAAAGTGCTATTCAGAACTATTAATATATCTGCTCCTTTACCTATTTCATGGACGAAAAAAAATATTTTTGTTCTGTTTCTCATTTGCTACAATATTATCTTGTATAGTTTTATTGTTTCCAGATATAAATAAAAACCAGATATTTTTCAAGTGAAATAATCAATTGCATGAGTGTTTTGGAAATTCGTTTTTTCTTTTTAAAGGGGTTTTTGGGCCAGTTTTTTCCCGATTCCCCTTCCATCAATATATAAAGATCAAGAATTTTTTCTTTGTTAAAAAAATTTCTTGTAGGTTCTGAATAAAACAAATTTAATTTGTGAAAAAACTTAATAATTATAATATTTTTAATATATTTTTTATTACAATGTTTTTATTTTGCAAAGAAAATATTAAAAATGTTTTTACTTGTGTACGCATACGTGGCTAAATTTAAACAGAAAGGAGAAAAATTGTTATGATATTGCAGCAGGTTCCTCTTTAGTAGCTGACAGGAGTTTTAATACATAGAAAGTGGGACCTACATCGGCATAAGAAAATAGAATGATCTCTCGATCCTATGGGTTTTCTTGTGTTAATCGGAGTGATATGGAATACATGCTTAATTTATAATAAACATTTTGGCTCATGATAGAGCAATCCAGATTAAAACTACATCTTTGTACCAAGTATTACAGTAAACTAAAGAAAATCTCTCAGTTTTTAATTCTTAGCTTTTACTATAATGAGAATATTTCATATGAAATTATGCAATTTAAATTTGAGATTTTATTTAAAAATCTACGCCAAACTACGGTTGCTTTTTTGGGGGGGAGTGAAATTTCCATTTTGTATTGATTGACTCGAATATTTCTGTTGGCAATAACTCGCCGCAAGACCAGAACGGTTTAAAGCCAGGAGTATCCAGAGGTTCAACTGGAAGTAATCAAATCATTACGTGAAAGTAAACTAGCACACCCAACTCATTAGGGTTTGTCTTTAATACATGGAGACATATCCATATATATATAACAAAGAAATGTTTTTGAAAAAACTTTAGGATTTACTAGCAGATGTATCGTATTGTATATTTTGTGTTCTTAGTTTATGTACTTCTGTACCCAGGGTTGCGAAAATATTTGCGTCAGTGAAAAGAGACGCTTTGTAATTTGTTTGTCTATTCCACAGGTTCCCAACCCTATTCCCGCCACTGTGCGATCAAAATAACACTTTTTTAGTTTTCCATAAAATTCTATTTGAGAGTTTTCTCATTTCTAATGAAATAGAAATTGCGTCCAACACAAATACCAACACAAAGCGAAATGCGACCCATCTATTTTTACTTCCTTGTACGAAGTAAAAAGGAAGTGTTGTAATCGCGAAAAGCTTCAGGCAGCATATTTCAACAAAAATATCCACTTTGACCGCTTTCGAATGCAATTTAACGATGTTTTTGTGTGATATCTATACGTAAGGACAGAATAAAAGACTCTTTTCTTCCAAAAAAACTGCTTTAAAATGAATTCTGAAGAGAATTTTTTCGTGGCGTCAGTCTGAACGTACATGCGTACGTACGTATCTCGCATAACTCAAAAACGAGTAGCCTCAGAACGTTGAAAATTTGTATATAAGACTACTATAACATGTAGATGTGCACCTCGTATTTTGGTTTCAATCGGCCGCGCCAAATGTATATAAATATATTTATAAATATATCCACTCTGTTACCTGGCTCAATTATCTCAGTTTCTTTACTCTTATATGTTTGTAAATTGTACATTTTTTGCTTTAAAAATGATTGAATTATGTTGTTTTTATCTTCCGGTTAAAGTTTTTATGCCTTTCGTAATTCCATAAGCAATATTTGTACAATTATCAACAATTTAAAAGCTGTTTAAGTGCGGTTAAGTTTTAAATAACATGTTGAACATATTTGTTTACATTTGAAACAGCAGAATTGTAGATTTGTTGCCAATCTAGAGAGACTAAGCTTCACAACACAAAAATAATGCCTTCATTCATTATAAGTAAATTAAATCATGCTTAATCCTTTCTGGAATTTTTTCGAGGAAATAAGTATTTAAGATTTACTTCGTAATTTTTAATACAGATATTTTGAGTTTTTATGTATTTTTGCCTTGTCGCAAAGTGAAAACTGAATTAATTCAATGAGAAATACTCAATCGTCTGTGAAAAACTGTTTCTTTTTTGTTTTGTTTGCTTAATTTCTTTTATACATTGTTCTAGCTTGGTTATAGTATTTGAATAGAACATGTGGCAACGATTAGATAATTCTTCAAATGATATAAATTTTGTGCATTCTGAGTTATAATATGAACAAAATATAATACTGTTAAGTGAACCTAGCGCCAGAGCGTCGCTATGGTAAACAAAGTGAATTTTAAAGAATGCATTTATTCTATTGAAGTTTATGCGCTGTCGGCGAAGTAGGTTTAATTCAATCTAATAAGTTAAATGAAATGCAAGAAAAAATGTGTATAATTTAATATTCCGTACAAGGAAGTCGTGGTGTACACATCAGATTTTTTTATGTGCATGTAACCAACCTCTATTCATTTATAAATTCACCTTGAGAATGTAAATGGTGCCTGCCGTCCAACAGATATTCTGGAATATACGCTTAGGAACAAAAAGGTTCGGAACCCCGGATCAATTTAGATGTATTCTAGATATATTTATTATGTTTTGTATTCTTATTGTTATTTACACTGTGAAAAAAATTCCGTTATGACGCACTGTATGAAAATTCATTTCATTTCATCATTCGCCACAACAGCCTTCACTCACCTTGAATTGCGATGTAGGAATGTCCTCTCGTGCCGCTGCAAGCGCTCTTACTTGGCACATTTCCCCCGTTACTGCGTATTCTTGAGCATGCATATCACAAACATCTGCAACTACTTTTTTTTTTTTTTTTTTTTTTTTTTAAGTTCGGAAACTTAAATTTCGAACCACGAAACGCATGTCTTATTTTGTTCGTTGCCGCCAGTTGATCAAGCTGTTTGCTGCAATTGCGCACACATTTTTCGTCCACCTTATGTACTCTTGCTGCTGCTCTTTTTCCCTTTTCTTGCACAAAGTCTACGATAGCAGCTATACAGCGACTTAAAAGCTGCTGTATTTTTCCATTTCAAGCACGCTACTTGCTAACTACCACGAATTCCAAATGATATGAATGAAATGAATGAAAAGAGAAAGCTTGAAATGTGCAAATGTTCGGAGGCAGGAGGGAAAAGTAATTTCATTACAAAACAGTATTTCCTGGAAGCCAGTGTGGTGAAAACCTGTTTGGACTGCCTTCATTTATTATCGCGTCTGCCGAGTGGATTGCTTACTCTGATGTTATGACTGAATAACAGCTGCACCAGAACGCAAGGAAAGTCTCTGCTTTCCATCCTGGATCCAACCAAAGACAAAACAAATGCATATTCTTTCTTTAATGATGTTTATTGACTAAAGGGACAAAGGTGATATTAAGAAAAATATATTTTAAAGTAAGAAATTCTTTAGTTTTTGGGGTGCGGACATTACACGAGTGTATACGGTATTTGTTGTAGGCCATAATAATGCCGAATGTGGTTTACGCACTTTGTTAAAATTATTTTGGAAGTATGAACGATGACTTTTTTCCTCTCATCTACAATGAAAGGAAAATAGGTTGCTATAAATTAAGAAGTTCGCCAAGTGAATTATTCATGGCGCAACTGAAAAAAATGGCCAAGATAAATTTTTAAACTTCTTAATAAATTTCACACCAAATTTTACAATATTTAATATTTAGGTATAATTTGGGTCGTAGAATCGAAATGGAAAAAAAATTGGCATGTCATTTCAGAAAAAGTCCGATTTTGTGTCAAAATACCTACGTTAGAACAATGCTATATTTAAATGTAATATATATATTCTAAGGCGCACTTTCGTGCCATGGAAAAAGCAATTTGTATTTCATCAATAGCCCAAGTAGAATGGGAGATATAAAACTGCCCCCCCCCCCCTTTTTTCGCAGTGTACCTCTATACTGGGGATCACAAAAACATTTGATCTTGTGAAAGGAGTCGCCGAGTGGAAGAGTTTGAGAAGCCCTGTTCTTGTGAACAAAATTATATTTTTCTTGACTCAAAGCGCAACTTATTGATTTTTAAAACCGTATTATTACGTTTACAAAAGTGAAGCATAGTAGATAACTTTTCTTAGAAACAAGTTGCCCCAGAGTGTAAATGGGAAGTCTCTCCAGCAGCAAAGATAGCTTGACAAGGTATTAAGAGAAACTTTTGTGCGGTTTGATAGCAGTTTTAGATTTTTATGTTATGGAGTGTCATCTTTTTGGGAACGATGCATTAAGTCGAGGCTCTGGAAGATCTAAGTGAATGTGTCTATGTTTTGTTAATCAAGATTCCTCGCCCTTTATCCTCAATATTTAGATTCTACGCTTAAAATTATGCTAAAAGTATCAAATTTTGTAAAACTGGCACTCAAAAGTTCAGCTCCATGTGGATTTTGTTTTGGAAATAACATGAAATTTACAACATGCATTAGCGGAGGTGAAAGATGCAAATGATTAGAATTTCAGCGCAAATGCACATCAGGTGCGCCTTCAAAGTGCTATTTAAGGCTTGGAGTTTTCGGTGATTTCAAATTCGGCAATTGTGTTTTCTTGTGGTTTTTTTTCAAAAAAATGGTCATTTATATCTCGTAGTAAACAACAATCATTGTTTGATCCGAGTTCGACAGTCTAGTGGCCTGCTGAGAGTGGATTGTCTTTCAGGGAAATCGGTAGTCGTGTTGGACGAAACCACACAACTTGTAATGCGGATATGTGACCGTTGGATGCAGGAGGGTACGATGGACCGACGTATTTGATCGCATCCACCTCAGTGCACCACTTCACGTGATGACAGGAACATAGCGCGCATGGCAGTGACGGATCGCTCAATCACATCGCAAACCTTAGCACAGCACATTCAGTCTGTGACGCATCATCCAGTGTCTGCGCGTACCATTCGACGCCGTTTACAGCAGAGTGGTCTACCCTTGACGCAGAACCACAGATGTCTCCGCCGCCAATGGTGCGATGAAAGAAGGATGTGGACGGCAGAATGGAATGAAATTGTCTTTACTGACGAATCATGCTTCTGTCTGCAACACCACGATGGTCGGATTCGAGTCTGGATACACTGTGGAGAGAGGATGCTGAACAGCTGCGTTATGCACCGCCATACTGCTCCGGGTATTATGGTATGGGGCGTTATTGGATATCATTTCTCGCACTCCTCTAATATGCATTGCCGGTACTTTAAACCGCCAGCGCTATATCTCCGAGGTGTTGGAGCCAGTTGTCCTTCCTTACCTTCAAGGCTTGCCTACAGCCATATTTCAACAGGATAATGCGCGACCACACGTGGTACGCATTGTCCAAGGGTTCTTCGTCAATCGCCAGATTGAATTGCTTCCCTGGCCAGCTCGCTCTCCGGATCTTTCATCGATAGAAAACATGTGGTCCATGGTTGCTGAACGATTGACCCAGATTACATCCCAAGCTGCCCTACAGGTCAACTTTCGCAACATGTGGAAGCTGCTTGGTCTGCTGTACCCTAAGAACACATCCAAAGTCTCTTTGAATCAATGCCGAGGCGTGTGGCAGCGGTAATCTCCAACAATGGCGGCTACTCTGGCTACTGATTCTGGAAGGAACCATATTTCACAGAAGTGTATAAATTTAATCATTTGATACTTGTCAACATGTCATCTACTAAAGAAATTTTGGTGTGATCTCTTGTCTTTCTTGGTGTTTCAATTTGGGTGGCCAGCGGTGTGTTTGATAATTTCGCTTTTTTAATTAAATTATCTTGCTTTTGACTGTAATTTCATTTAAATTCAGTTTTCAGTTTTATCTAGTTGCAATAAAGATTTTGTTTTTTTGAGGTAACAACATTAGAATTATTTTTATTTAATATTTTAGAAGAAGAATTAGTGTTAACTAATCGCTTTTGATGTATATGAAATGAGTATAATTTTTAAAAAATCAAACATCTACTTTTAGGATGTTGCTTTCATTTGCGCTGAAATTAAATTGATTCATTTATTTCCAGTTATAACAGATTTTCAATTTAAACTGAATTTTTCTCAAAACACATTTCTATCTTGTATCCCCGATACGAAACGGTAGCAATTTTTTTATTCATTCGTTCTTAATATTTAAATAACAATATTGCTTAGTCTCTTTAAAAAAGTTTGATGTAATATTATATTCATAATAAAAACTATATATACATACAAAAGTAAATATGATCTTTATTTTAAATATTTTGATTTATACAGCGGTATGCAGATATTCACACTTCATTGCATATCCTTTTAACAAAACATTTTCATATTTCACGAAATTGTTATGTTGTCTAATATTAACAGAATATGAAAATTTATGAAATATTTTACGTGAATGTATTGAAACTAGGGAGATGGGTGATATGGTTATTTATTTACTGCTTGCCACTTTGAACTACTTTTCTTTTACTTCTGGAACTTCCCAAAAGACGTCATCCAAGTACATATGTTTATCTTCTAAAGGATCAAAAATCTTTAAACGTAAAAGCAAACCTGTAAAAGAAAATACATTTAATTAAGAATTAGAGCGTTCTGCACACCATGTCACAATATTTACACAGATATTTTTAAAGATACTAGTACAAGTGGCGGAGAGTCTTCGCGGCTACCAGAGTTTAGTAGGAATTATCTCCGCCCTCCTATCAGGAGTTTATTGCAGTAAAAATAATTTTGAGTTGGCCAGGCAACGGCTGAGAGTACATAAGTGAAACATTACAGATTTTTTTTTGTTTCCCAGGACATAATGAACAGTTTCGTCTTACAGAAGTTATCAAGCATAATATAGAAAGTAATATTAATTATATTAATAATTTAATTAATTAAATAATATTTTAATATTAAAATTAATCTAAAAGAATTAGTTAAGACTATGAAAAAAAAGCAATGAAGCTAATTTTGCACTGACTGCTGTGCCGAAGTTTACTACCAACTTGTCCAACATTTGACAGGAACAGTCGCATCGTTAGCATAAGCAAGCAAGCTGGTATGTTCTGGACAATAAGCTTCAAGTACAGAATTGAATGTTAAGTTCCAGAGAATAGGACCACGCAAGAATCTTGCTAGCAGCCCCATTCCTGGATTTTGGAAGCAATGCCGCTGAGAGCGTTTTCTCCATTATCCTCTAAAAATGTTGTAGAGGTTGGCTAAGATTCTAATACAGCAGTACCACCACATCTGGGGGGGGTAACAGTTACCGCGGACAGAGCTTGATTAACCATTAACTGAAATAAAGATGTATGGAAGCACCAAAATGTTTCAAGTTCTTAGAGCCTCTGAAAGTCTTATTCTGACCCTGACCGCGAATAACAATGAAAACTGTATAAAACTGGATAATTGTGTAATACACAAGAGGTATGACAATGTTCAGGGATAGGATGCATACATGCGGCCGTGAACAAAAGACGAAACTCGGAAAAGACATTATCAGTTTTTGTTAGTCACACTCTAGTGTGCAACAGTGGCTGTAAAATGGAACCGAACAAATTTAAAGTTCTATTTCAAGCTTGGTGAGTCTGTGAAAGGAAGTCATGACAAGCTAAAGTTTACAGCGATGGAGCCGTATTTCTAAAGTGTGTTTATGAATGGTTGAAACATTTTCGGTGATGAATGAGATTCCAATGAAATCACTGCTCGATGTAGAAGGCGTGTGATGTCATATAGTGAGAAAAGGATTGAAATAAGAGAAGGTGTTATTCAGAAAGAACAGCGATGAATGCTAACACTTTTAAGGATGTTCAAGGAAATTTACTGTAAAAGATCTGTCCATAATACTTTAAGGCGAACTTTTGGTTCCTTCCACATGATAGTGCATGACCACATTTGGTCCGCGCTTTGAAAGATTATGGCCTATTGAAAAGTAGCCCTCAATCATTCATCGTACATGAAACTGATCTTGCTCCAGCAGACTTCTTTCTGTTCCCGCACCAAAAAGGAGCCTTAAAAGAAACCGATTTCTGAATATTAAGACATTCAAAAGCATGTGACGAGGTTCTCCATGCTGTTCGGAAACAGCACTTTTCCAGTAGTTTTCAAAATCTGTTACCAGTCATAATCGAAAGTTTATTGCAAAAGATGGACCATTACTTCGAAATAATATAAAACGTTTTTCTTGATTTAGGTAAGAATCTTTGGTTTATGAACACATTAACCGAACTTTATTGCTATAACTCGAACCTAAGTACAGTTACGTTTAACTGATAAATTATTTAATTTGGACATTATGAACGTTAAATAATACTGTAATAAAATATTCCGTAGCACAATTCTGCTACTAAATACACAGTAATGTATGTTCTACAATTAAATTAAGCAGTGTTAAATATATTGTATACTAGAATTGTAAGAAATTATCGCTTTCTCTCATGTGTACTCTCGTGGCCATCATGTTCAGCTGTCAAATGAAAGATCCATGATTTGAATCTTGGAGAGGTCACTCTTTATTTTTCTTGTTTCTGGTTTTGGACAACTAAATGCTGTCTGCAAAGTATGGTGTTTGACGTATCTATGAAATCGAGGAATTTTTATATTGTAACTTTATTCGCAAAAGATAAATAAGTACTGAAAAAATGCAGTACATCACATGTACTGTTTCAGAAGATAAGGACTCATTCATTTTTCTAACTTTAATATCACACTAGTAATTTCCAAGCACTTATAACACGACTAATCTTACAATTTGAGGTATTTACTGTGATAAATGGAAATCAGAAAGCAAGACAATTGGGACAACATTGCTAGAAACAATAATAAGGTGAATACTACAAGCAAGAATGGGAAAAGGCTTAAGAGAAGTATAGGTAAGGAACAAGTTAAAAATTCTTTGACTACTGAATAGTCAATGTTGCTTATCAACATATTTATCAAGGGTTTTCGTGTAGTCTGAGTGTGCAAACAGGGTTCTGTAGTGAAAATTTTCGTTCTTTGTATTTTAGTTACATTGGCCCCAAACAGTTCTGAAGTTGCATAGGAAAACAATATTGAGCCTGTTTGAACCATTCTATTCCAGCAAAGGTACGCATTGTTGCTATTTTGAGTGCACTTCAAAGTTTATATCTTATGAAACTTATATAAAACTTGCATCTTATGACATTTTTTCCCCTTTCTGTCGCTCTGAACCGCTGAATTGAGGTACGACTATATTGCAGAATATATTACTAACGAGGAAGTACAAATAAAAAACAGTAATTAATTTATTTGTGAAAAATGTATTACATTGGCAAAATAAAATAATACACAGCGAAGCTATACGTCTTAGCTATTTTTCGACATCAAGACTTCTCTTTCAGCGTGGTACTAGTTTTACTGTGTGTTCAATAGCTTATTCTAGCTTATTCTGCAGACAATCGGACAGATTTCGTCAGCCAGACGGAGTGTTTGTTTCGCACATGTAAAAGTAGAAACATAAAAATAAGGGTTAGTGTCGTTTACAAATGAACAGACATGATATAAAGTCTATTTTCTGATGTCTAAGTAAAAAATTCTTAACTACAATTCCATAAGAATATGACTTTTAAGTATTTGAAACTGATAATGGGAAACTATTGCTTGAATCTTCAAAAGAAATTCTTTTCTTGACCAGAGATGCAGAAATCGATGCCAAATATTAACAAAAGCTGAATTTTATAAAATTTTGACAGACATCTCATTACTGACATTCATAGATCTTTCAAATTATTAAAGCTTATTAATTATTAACTTTCAATAATTTAGGTTGGATTAGCGATTTATGCAGACTTATTGTGCGTAAAACTGTAAGAAGGACTTTGTCAGAGATCCATCAATTGAAAAGTTATTAAAAAATAGCCTATGCTTTATTATTAAGCGTAAAATTGTAAGACCTATTAAGCCTAAAATAAGACTTATTAAGCGTAAAATTGTAAAAGAACTTTCAAAATCTTGTCAGAGATCCATCAGTTGAAGTGTTAATTAAAAAAAATATCTTATGCTTTACATTAATAGACGTGGACACTTTTGAGCATAAAATTTTGTGCATCTTCACTTTCTGATTTACCTGATAAATGAATGCAATGTGCATTTTTCATGTTAAAATAAAATATTTTATGGGGCTTTATTTTCCATTAAATTAATTATGACATATCATAAATATTTGTGGCAACATAGTGCTTTGTAAAATTTCAATCAGCATACCACTTTGGTGGAAGTATGCCTCTTTGACTGACTACAGGCAGCTCTGGCTATCAAAAGAAATGGCCATAGCGGCTGATGAAGCGTTCCGTAACGGCTAGTAAGGACCTTAACGAAATTACCATAAACGGCTAGTAAAGATAGGATCTAAACATTGCCCTGGGCTTCTTAAGACCTGTCTTCGCTGATCGCCAAGACGTAGCTAGGCACTAGATTCTTCACACAGGACAATTCATCTCCACTCAGTCACGTTTTCTGGCGAGGTGCTGCTTTGTAAAATTTTAATCAGCCTACCACTTTGCTGGAAGTATGCCTCTTTGACTGACTACAGACAGCCCTGGCTATCAAAAGAAATGGCCATAGCGCCTGATGAAGCGTTCCGCAACGGCTAGTAAGGACCATAACGCAATTACCATAAACGGTTAGTAAAAATAGGATCTAAACATTGCCCTGTGCTTCTTCAGACCTGTCTTCGCTGATCTCCAAGATGTAGCTAGACACAGGACTCTTTACACAGGACAATTCATCTCCACTCAGTCACATTTGCTGACGAGGATTAATCCCTAGATTCCACTCTCTGATATGCATATAAGTGGTCCTGACGGTCATTTCTGTGTGGCTCATATATCGGAGCATAGACACAGATGAAGTAAGTGCTCTGGCTTAACTCTCTTTTCTCATAACTTTAGGTCGATCGTTGCTTTCCTTGACGCTGAAATCTGCCATTCTTCACCTACCCCTGCCAGTATCATCCAATCATCAAAACGCTTCGACCCGAATATCGGAAGATTCTTTGTAATGAGTACGAACCTGTTTGAGAGGAATCGCTACAGCTCAGGCGGATAGCCACAGTCAAAATCTATGGAAGTTTTGTCCTTGAAATCGAGTTTTGCTCATTAATACATTTTCAAATCCGATGCGCTGGACTTTTGGCTATTAATTCCTTGGGCTCTAAATTTTAAACGTTTGCATGTTAGATCGACTACAATGTTTAACCCTTTGCGGCACAGTGTGTCCGGTCTGGACGCACCTAAAAATTTCCTTCTGTACGTACAGAAAAATTGAATGAAAAAGGATTTATAGGTTACTCTGAACCTTCTTTATTTATAGTAATGGCAGCTCAACACAAACCATCCATATATTTTAGCCATGTTTAGTTTTTTAATCCTCATTTTTCAAAGAAATCTTCCAGATTTTTTTAGGGTACAAAAGGATTGTTTGAAAAGAAATTCTATGTTATTTTTTTTGGCTGTATGCTAATCTCTTTATTCTATATTAGTTTTAAATTTTTTACCTTGAAATCTTGCCTAAAATCAAACGGCGAACCTAGGTGGTGCCCAGACCGAAATCTAGACACGATTGTCACCGAAATCTAGGACAACTGAGAGTCTGTATTTTTGTTTCTCCACATCTCATCGGTCAGTTATTGACAACAATGCTCTTTTCGAACTTATTCAGTGTGCCCCACTTCCACTCTGTTGTGCCCAGGGCACACCCCAGAATCAAAACGATAATGCTATCTTCACAAAATTTACTTATGTACTCTAGGCCTAATTAGACTGCTACTTTTTTTTTTTTTTTTTTCTTTATCAAAACTCCAACTTTAAAAGGTAGCGTGCCGGAAAGGGTTAATTGCAATTGGATTATTTTAGTGCGTAGATTTTTATGTTTTAGAAAGTGAAGCAATAATTCTAGAGGTTTCAGTAAGGTAGTTGCATTTTCTTTGACAGAAACTTCATAGACCCGGACTGATGAACAAAAGAATGGGCGAAGAACTGTACTGAATATTTCATAGACAAAAACTGCAAACAATTTTAAAATAGAAACTTCATTTCTGAAAAGTTAATACTTAAAATGCTTTCAGAACCTTGAAAGTGGAAACTTCATCTTCGAATATTTCTTTAATTAAAGAGGTCTTACCTGTTATTGAGCCAGTTAGAAGTGCAAAAGCAATAGTTATTAGGATATATATCGATTGGTACGAAGCTTGCATTTCACGAGATCGTCCGATACCAGGAGCTAAGTCTGATAAGTTTCCCTTTATCTCCCAATAAGCAGTTGTATTCACTTGAGGAGATATAGCTGGATATAATTTGTATAAGCTAGAAAAAAAAATATTTTTCTATAAAATCTTATCATACATATAATTATATCTGTTAATATCTATATCATACATAATAACTATGACATATATTAATATATCATACATTTAATTATAAAAATTCCACGTAATTCATTTTTGTATATAGATAAATAACGGAAAAGGGAGGAGAGAAATATATGTAGCAAAGAGAGGAAATGAAAATATTATAGTTGTGGGGATTTATTTAACTTACTTAACTTTATTTTATGTTTTAAGCGACTTTCCTATCGCTGTTGTTTTCAACTAACACTTTCTTGCCAACTAACACTTTCTTTTTGGGGGGCGGGGAGGAAGGGCATGAAATTTGAATACAACTCATAAATTTCGAGGACGATCAGATACAGATTACTTTTCTTCAGGATTAGGAAAGTTCTGCAAAGTGGAAGGAGCGACGACCGTATTTATATCGAAAGAAGCACGAATCTTGTGACCAAAAAGGAAAAATAAACAGATCTTTGATGGCTAATAAATTTGTTTCTACGAAATTTCTGCGTTTCATTTGGTTCTGCGAAACTTAATCATAGAGTTTTTTCACTTGGTGAACTGGATTTCTTTGAAACGCTTTTCACATTCAGAAAAATTTATCTTCGTTAGTTAATGATGTTATTTCCAATCCAGTCCTTCCTAATGCTTTTAGAAGTCTAGTATGTTAGCTCTTCACATTTCATTACTATTTTCCTCGAAAGATGGCGCTATGATTGTGATCACTTTGCTTCACCCATTGTTTTTAATATAAATACGATTGTTGCTGCTCTGATTTTTTTAGACTATTTTTGCTCCAGAGGAAGAGGGATCTGTATCTGATTTCCCTCGAAATGGATAGAATTTTACTTAAAATCTACTCCAAAATAAGGTTGTTATCTTGCCTAATTTAATACTGAGTCTTAGATTGAGGCAGATTATCCTTAATGAAATACATTTAACAAATAAAAAGTAATATCTTTTTCAATATCAGAGATGGTGTAGACCAAGCACCTGTAAAATGCGGGAAGTTTTTCTACTACAATATCAATAGTCAGTCTAAGATTGAATTTTGTCTAAATTAAAATTTCGAATTGGCACTCATTTTACCTACATAGCGGGAAATCTTCCGTTACAGCTGAATCTATTGGCGTAAAAATATAACTGTTTTTCTAACGCATATACAATGAAGAGAGCTGTTCAAAATATTTAAGTTCCTTATAAAGATAGATACCGCAGCAACCATTTCATTACATTACTGTCTCAAAAAGTGTGCAGCATCGTTATAGTTACGGTCAACTGTATTTTTTAGGCAGGTAAGATATCCGTAAAATGTAATATGAACGTTCAAGAAAATGAATGCTGAAAATAGAAAATGCTGTAATAATTCTCTTAAAATTTGATGGAAAAAAAAAAAAACGAAATAAATTGTCAGTTTCTGCATGGAATCAAAACGTTTATCTGAACAATATTTTCCATAACAAAATTAGTGTATGGAATAACTTGCCCATAAATAAAATGTTAAAAAAAGAAACAGATAGATTAATTATGTTAATATTTCTACAGAAATGTAGTACTGGTAGAGGAGTTATCTGTCATTGTAACAATATCAAGCTACTCAATAAAATTAAGAATAGATTTTTAACCAGAGAGTAGTATTGTTCGCCATTATTCATAAATACGTGAGAATAAACGTCATTGTTTTTAATAATAGTGTAATAAAGATATATGTTACATTCATTCAATATAGGCTTGTCTATTGAATATGCCTGGCAGCCCACAGATAAGATTCATTAAACATATTCTTATTTGGTTTATAACTATTACTTCTATATACTTGTATAATGTAAGCCAGTTGTGATTTTTCCTCCAGCCATCAGCGGCCGAGCGGTAAAGACGCTGAACACTGGTAGTTCGGTCCGAGGTTCGAATCCCGGAACGGGCTGGCTGCAGAGGCGTTTTCGTGGTTTTCCCCATGTGTAACGTGTATACGAGCTAGTTTCCGTTAGAAAGTCCTCCACGAAGCTCCCTCCCTTGGGCGACACCCTCGTGTCTTGCATAATTGAATAATCCCAATCCTTCAGCCATCTACGCAGCAGTTTTTCTTCATCATGACTAAAAAGAGATATATATATATATATGATCTGGTATGCATCAGTCGCCGAATCTTTAAATTTACTACATGATTGTTAATATGCTAAATAGCGTGGGGTATGCCTAATAAATTTTTTTTTTTTAGTAAAATATATTTTGAGAATTCTTATATATGTCACGTGAACTGAATTAAAGTTTGCTGAAAATAATTTGTAGAAATGAACTTCTTACTTAAAACCGTAAGTTTCCTCATTTGCCATTAAGACGACGGCAACACTGCAGAGTCCCGAAAACAGTCCCGGAATTCCATGCAAACTGTTGATGCCACATGGATCGTAAATATTAATCTTTGATAAAAAGGGCTAGAATATAAAGCTTTAAATTAAATATTTTACTTTTATAGTAAAATTTAAGCAATTAATAATTTATTAATACTTATATATAATCAATTGAATCAGCACATGCAAACTGAAAAAAAAATTCTCACCGTAAAGTATTTGAATCCTAAAACAGATATAACTCCTCCTATAGCACCTATTAATAAGGCTTCGTATGGTTGAATCATAAGATCTGCTACAGCTCCCACAGCCACGCCTCCGGCAAGAACGGCATTCTGTATGTGACTCTAGGACATGAAAATTTGAAATTAATTAGGTTATTTATTATTAAAGACAAAAACTGATTTATCGAGCATTGAACTAACGACTTATTTAAAGATAAAGGACTTCACTTTAATTCAGTCTTACTGTGAAGAGATTTACGATAAAGTTATTTCAAAGTATGCAGCAAATCCGATACCTGTATAGGAGTACCAGGTACCAGTTTGGTAATAAAAAGAATAACAATGGAATTTTAGAGAAAAAAAAATTACTTTGAAAGTACATATTTCGGTCTGTTGAGCTATATATACATTCATGGCATGTGTCGTTTATCATATCGGTGTAAGATTTTGTATGCAGCCATCATAGACTTCTGTCATTTATGTGTTTAGAAAATCTGTTACCGATTTTGGAATTCTTCGGTATAAAAAAAGCGCTTTCCACCACAGAATTCATCATTTCTCGCTACAACATTTTACCACATGACGCCACATCCACAAAAAAGCTGCCTCGGTGGTTGTGCAAATGCCTGAGGCTTAGGTCATTGGCCTACAGCTGCGATCTCACCGTCAGGGAGTACTAGCTTTTCTCCGAATTAAAAGGCTTTTGAGATCGAAATGCCTAATGAATTTTTTTTAATAAAATATATTTTGAGAATTCTTATATATGTAGGAACTGAATTAAAGTTTGCTGAAAATAATTTGTAGAAATGAACTTCTTACTTAAAACTGTATTGACAATGAAAAGCTCAGCAAACGGGCAAAAGTATACACACCGGTATTTAAAAGTCTTTTACACTCCGATAAGTGCCTCAAGTTACCATGATAGTGATGGCAATAATACCCATGAGTGCCTATGGAGCACAAATAATAACCCGAGGCTAAGTTAGCTTATTTGAATATATCAAATCACTAGAGAACTATCTGCCTAAGAAGAACGATGACTTCGTAAAGGATTTCCTCAAGGAAACTGACCCGTATTCTCGTTTACATATGGAGAAAACCACGAAAACCAACCATGCAGCCAATCCATTCACCTCGATCAAGTTAGGTTATTTGAATATGGCAAAGCCACGAGAGCTATCAGCCTGATATGAGGGATGCCTTCACAGAGGACTTTCTGAGAGTAACTGGCATGCATTCACGTTACACATGGAAAAATCACGAATACCAACCATGCAGCCAGCCCGTTTGCCTGACATTGTGTCCAAACCAGGTTGAGCTACCAATATTCAGCAATCTTAACTACTTGGCCACTGGTGGGGCCCAACCTGCGGTTGAACCCTGAAAAGGTAAAGAGAAATTACAGCAGCTGCGCGCAACCTTTGTATAGGACTGGTTGAAGCCTCTTCGCTAATAAGTTTTCCTGCCCTGCTCTTTTCTTCATCTCAGTCAGATTACTATTTGCATGTCAGTTAGATTGCTGATCGTTTTTGACTGTTTTAAACATGCTAATAAGAACAGTTTTTAAGTAAATTAAAAAAAAATTAATACTATCAAAACACTTTTTCAATTTGTAATGTTCCAACCTAGAATTGACACCTAAATGTGTGGAGCCTTGAGAACTGGTAAGCGAATAATCGCTTTAGTTCAATAGACAGAGGACAGGTACTCAAGAAGGGTTAATTACCCTTTATTGCTCAAAATAAAGTTAACAGACGGTCCATTCTCAGGACGTGCAGAAAAGCCTCTACTTGGGCTTGAACTCAAGAATATTATGAGATAAATCTTAACTAAAAAGCTATAGCCGAATTATACATTAGTTGGCCCCTTAACGCTAACTAAAAGCGCGAAGCTATCAAGGGCCTGAAATACGGTCGAGCATAGAAATAGCTTAGAGAGAGTATAGCCAAAAGGCGGAACGCGCGCTGGTCAGAATCTCTGGCTGTCTAACGAAGTCAAGGGAACTTCGACTTTAAATACTTCCTCTTCCTTCATTTGAATTTAACCGTGATTCTGAAAACACGTTCTGGCAGGAAATTGTAAGCTGAAATCAGAAAAGACAGGAAAGTAGTTTTAATTAAAACTTAACCGAAATTATGTGCAGGTATAAATTATTAAATAATTCTTTAATCATCAAAAAATGATGGCAAACGTAATATAAATTTTCTGAAATCCTTCAAATGGTAAATAACTAGGGGGAAAAAAAAACTGGGAAAAAAAAAAAAAAGATTGTTTTCTGGATAAAATAATAAAATTTCTAAAATTATTTTCTATACTGAATGTAATAATGTAATAAATTATTCCATGAAACACGAAGAGTACTTATTTACAACGGAAATATGAAGATTGTCAAAAATTCAAAAAAATTAGATTCCAAGGCAATTTAATACACATAATCTCTTACTTTCACTTATCTCCCTATGCATTTAAACACTACCTCATTGTACCTCATGCGCCTTATTAAAAACTTGATAATAATTATGAAATAGATGAAGAAAAAATACAAAGTAAATTTTTATATCAATAAATAGAATTTTAAAATTTATAGCCTAGATTTTTAAGAGGAAGATAGGTTTCTGTAGAGGTCATACAATGAAAATAACTTTCTTCATTATATTTTTTGTGATATGTATAGAAGTGCATACAGGGTCGGATTAAGACTATACAAAGATCCTAATAGGTTTACCCTATGTTTGAGGCGGGTCCAACCCAGGACATATTTTTGAAATTATTTAAAAGTCTCAACAGTTTACTGAAACATTAATACAATGTTGAGAATATTCTTATGACTTTCTCCACAGAGTTTTGTAGTGTACTCCTAAAAGGTGCTGCATGTGACAAATTGAGAAAAGTTGAGTAACGTTTTTAGGTAAAAGACACAGACAGCTTCTGATTATGGACAGATTATGAACTAGAGGCTTAAGACTATCTGCTGATTATTCAGCGTAGAATTACGTGTTCATATGTCGATTTGATTTTTTTTCTTTTTGTATAATTTCATATGCAAACTAGGTAACGATTAATTTATTCGCTGCGTTGCTCTCGAACCAAATAATTTTCGTTCCATAATTTGCTAAGCATCTAACCAGATCTGTACATGAAATGAAACAAAATTAAATGAATTTTTTATGCTAATTTTCTTCCTTTTCCAGTTCATTTTTTTATTCAAGTATGAATTAAATGTGTAACATATTTTTGATGCATTTTACTACCAGTGTTCTATTGCTTCCTTGGATTTCGTTCCTTTCAAACGTATTTAAATATTGCATTTTACTTCGTAAAATTGAGCTGCTATAAAATACGTTATTTATTATATTATATATTTATTATATTAGTTTATATACGTATATTATGTTATTTATTATATATTTATTGTTACGTTATTTATTATATTGGTTTTAATATATTTTATTATGTATTTATTGTATTAGTTTATTTGATTAAACTGAACTGCTGTAAAGTACATAGAACTGCGAAGTTCAATATTTGCTTCTAATCTGTTGAGGAAAAAATTAAAAAAAAAATTCTTATCCATCCGTTGGGCAACAACGGTTTCAGATTTTTGCTGATACTTTACGATTAGACAAAACTCAATTTTCGATTGAAATCAATTTTAGTGAAATCGTTAATTACATTTTTACACATCTGTCTTCATCACATTACTCTTAGTGAAGAGACATAAGTTTACTCTTCATTACGGGAGTTAGTTAAGTTACTTGTGCCAGATTCTTTCAAATGCATCAAACATTTATTTCTGTTACATTTATTGAATTCGTAACAGCGTCATAATAGTACTGTAATTAGATACTCTTGCCTTACGGTGAAATGAGCTTATGGGAATGCTAAGTTGTTACCAATCTCATTTGTCTGCCAAAAGTCAGCACAAGCCTCTGACATTCAGCATGGCAAGGAATCAAATGCGCCTGTCGGTGGCACGAACCTTGAGCACCCTATATGCGACAGTCCATGGAGGTCCTCCATGTGACAGTCCGAGTTCCGTCCCCCCGTTTGAGGCATGGAGGTAGGAAAGTACTTACTTCCTACCTCCATGGTTTGAGGGAAAGTATCCCTGGGAGGGGGGACGGCTGTGAGTGTCTCCCGCCCCTCTTTCCCTACTGGGCCTTCGGGTACGGAAGTCAGGGTCGCTAAGCACTATCCAGGTTGGGCGGCAAGTGTTAAGTGTCACATTAATTTAAAACGCATAGATGAATTACTTACCGTACTAAATCTATTATCCTTATTAAGATATGATGACGTAGCGAAAGCTGTCAAACAGCTTCCAAGAAAAGCAAGATGGGTATTTATTACAGTTCTGTGTTGACGATCGCCAGTTGCTTCAGCCGAGTTGAAACTTGGCCAGAAAGCCCACAATAGGACTGTTCCTGTAAGAAAGAGGTGAAAAAGAAGATGAACTTCTAATGTCCTTTCATCTTTAATAAATAGCTTCTGTTTCTAAAGATATGCAACTGGCCTAAAATTTACTTTTGAGAACGTAAGATAATTTAGATATTTATGTAAATGATGTATTTCTTTAAATGCTGGTCCACTTCTCAAATTTTTGATGAAATACTACAAAAAAAAAAAATAAAATAAAAAAAAAATAACTCGAAAAAGTTAATAATTGCATGAAAATAAGCGTAAATGTTTTTAAGTTTGTTTGAAAGGGAACCAGTATGTATAGTCCTTATGATAATGTCTTTATTACGAAGTTCGTAATGTTTTAACTTCTAACTTACTGTCCTAGTTTTTCATCTAAAGCTATAACTGCCCAATATGTAAAATATACATTATCTGGAGATTTATCGATGAACAACTTTGCTAATGAATAACAGACAAAGTAATACAAGTATAGATAGCACCCGTTTATTGCTTATTGAAAATATCTACTAAATTCTACCAGTAGTTGACAAAACAAAGCGACATTAAACATAGAATGCTCATAGAATGCAGTAATGGAGCATTGCGACTTCTTCCCAGGATGTGGAAAGCTACTTAATTCTTCCAACACTACACGCTACAAAAAATATAAGCACCAGTCACTTACCTGCCTCTTACTTACCAGTTTAGTCCATCTGACTGTAATTTACTGATGACGTTTTAATTTAATTAATTTAATAACACTAAATACATTTTAACTATCCATCATCTTCCCAAAAGTAATAAACGCCTTTCTTGTATTGGTAAAAATGAGATAAAAGGGTTTAAGACGTTTTGATAACATATTTATTAACTGAGATCAAAAGAGTCAGTTTACCTTGCTCATACAGATGTCAGAAACTGTAAAACCGAAAAGATAGAACGATATTATTTCTAAATTAAGCCATAAATACTGCCCTATTTTCAACCTGCCAAACTGGTATTCTGTATCATATCGTGTTGTTGCAAATATAAAGGTTGATAAACAGCGCGGCGTATTTTAGTCACTGAGGATAAAGCAAAAAAAGTTCCCATTTATGCACATTAAGCATGGCTAATACACAGTGGTGTTCGAAACTAAAGGATATTTGCAAATATTATAAGATTCTTCTCCCGCCTTTTTAGCGTGCCTTCCTGGTGTGGTGGTCTGCACGCTGGGTGCATATTCCAGAGGTCTGTAGCTCGATTCCCGGCGAAGGCTTTGCTCATTTTGTAAGGATCCTAAGTTTTACTAACGTTTATTTTATTTTAAATCTTTGCTATCACTTCTTATTTTCTACTTCCGGCCAGAATTAAAAGCTTTAACTTATTTATGCAAATTTGTCTTGCTAACGCCAAGTACTTAAGTTTTGGCTTTTTGCCAAGCAAAGAGAGGAAGGAGTTATTAGAAGCAGGCGCTTACCATAGTAGTTTTTATCGTTTGCTGGTTGCCTTCCAGGCCAGAGGTTTAATCCTCGTGATAATTTTTAAACGTATCGCAGTGTTAGCAGTTCTCTGTACTACATACGGCTTTTTGTTAATATACGGCCAATCTTGGAGTTAGGCACTTGTTTATTAATCCAAAGTTAGTTTAGTTAGTTTTAGTTAATATTTCTATATTCTTACGTTCAGACCTCAAGTGGTTGTCTCTGTATTCCGAAAATCATTGTAAAGATAGAAAAATAAAGGGTTTCGTATACCCTTCCTATGTGTATTGTCTACTTCACAATTTATTGAACATAGCTTTAGTAAGCTCCCTGTTCCGAGTCAGGACAGTTAACGTTTCCAAAGAAAGTAAGGAGGAACACCAATCCTGATAATTTTTCATTTCTCCTGCTTCAAAAATACCTAATGTCTCTACAGTGGCGCCCGAAATAAAAAACGGTGGCGGATGATGATTCTCCACGCCCAGCTTTTGGCGATTGGTTTCCCTAAAATTCCCAGTCGCTTTTTAAAAATAGGAATATATAAGGTATTTCTCCCCTTTTCTCAGCGTGCTTTCGTGGTGTGGTGGTCTGCATGCTGGGCGCGAATTCCAGAGGTCCGTGGTTCGATTCCCGGCGAAGGCTTTGCTCATTTTTCATTTCTCCTGCTTCAAAAATACCTAATGTCTCTACAATGTGATGTTAATTGTACAAGTCTGATTAAAGTTCCATTCAATGCAAATGTTTGAAGAAATTATATGCTACTGACTTAAAAAATATTCCTGCAAAGGTTTTGAGCCCAGAATATGCAAGAATATACAGATTATAAAGGGAAATATTTCAGCGTCCAGCGTATTTCCTAGTTAAATGCAAAATTTGAAAAGGATCAGACTTCTCTAATTATGTCTAAAAATCGTCATTTAGAGGAAGATCATCTGATGGTTGGTATCGTATACTTTTAAATTGAGGATATTGCTTAAATGAACTTGTCGCCACATTCACCTATACTCAATACTATTTTATGTTTATGTGAAATGTTTTAGGTTGAAAAGTTGTGTCGCGACCAGCTGCTTCTTTTCAGCCTCCAGGATTCATATCTGCCGTGTTAGAAAAAGGGCCTTTGATCCTTCAGAACTTAAATGCCGTTTTAAACAAACTATGGAGAAGGCCTATGAAATGTTCATTTTTGTTGCTGTAGGAGATGACATATTTTATTAAATAATTATATCTTCAAAAATGATATCATTTAAGTTTTTAAGTAAAATATACTGAAGGCAAACTGCATCCCCTTCATCGGCACTTCGCCACAGTATGATTTTTCCTCTCTCTTCTGTCTTCGTGACCCCATATCAAAGACTTCATGGACCTTATAAGAGATAGACCAACCCAGTGGGCGGGGCGCGCGTCACCGACATGTCGGGAAGAAAGAGTAGGGACGATCTGGTTTACTTTAACACTGAAATATATGGCGTTTGTATAACATAACTCTTTTTAATTATTAAATGTGATACGTTGTATAGTGATGAGATTATGAAAGCCACAGTTTTTTCCAAATAAGATTGAATATATCTCATTAAAGCACTTTTTACTGCATTTCGCGCATTTTTTCACGCGTAATTCTTGTACAAACATCTTTATTTTGGTAAAACGGTAAAAACTCTAAGCATAAAATTTATAAACTTAATTTTGCCTACAAATAACATAAAATTAAATAAGATTGATAGTACGTGATGCTTTGAAATAAATAAGGTAAAGTTGAATAAGATCTGATAATTTTTTTAATTAAATGAAAATTTTCAGGCAGTGATTTTCCAAACACTACAAAACGATCATATTTATTTGATTATATGATCATTAAATTATTAACATTAAAGTTATTTTAATTATTCATAAAATTCGGAGCATAAAATTTCTGAGCGTAATGAAAGGAAAAAAAAAAAAGATAAAATAAAATCTAGAAGCACTCAGATTTTATATTACACCCAAAAGGAACCTTTTTTTATAGTTTGTGTGTTACCTATATTTATTGAATATCATGTTCTTCACCCGTAAACCACATACATTTATTTGAAAACAGCATATCTTTAGATTTTCCGCATTGGAGATAAAACTGTTATTTTTCGTACAGTGCTCGCTCTGAACTCGTTGAGTTTGTTAATCAAAAATTTGTTAAAGTTTTACAAAATATGAAATAAATTAAAACGAATTCGAAATTCGGCCGTCCAGATGCCCATGTTCGGGTGAAGGATTACATTATTCAAAATTTGATGGCTCTAGATACTGTCGTTTTTGTCACAGTGCGAGAACATACATGTATTTATGCAGATTCTTCTTTATTTAATTTCTTTACGTATAATACAGGGCGATAATATTTGGTAACAACAATTTGCAAGGAGACACGGACCTTTATAGTAAAACAGCGCAAAATGCCGCTTCGAAACTAACAGCCTTTCTAGGCTACCGCCGATTGGCTAATAAATTAAATTAACAGTAAATAAAAAAAAATCTATTCAAAACTAAAAAATAAATTTAAAAATAATCACTATAAAAATACAACCAAAATGAATTATTACGGTTAATACAATTTTAATATTAGAATTAAATGTATAAAAATTTTAAGGTGTCAAAAGTGTTTATCAGTATATACCTTTATAGAAATTGTGCTATAATACTCATCTATAATTTTAAAAAAGCAGCACAATTTAGATTTTAAACAAAACTTTCAAAAAACTTTTTTAAATATTTTAGTATTTTTTACTTATTTACACCAATAAAAGCATGAAATTGCTTGTTTGAAATTTTCTATTAGTTCGATTTAAAATATTATTTTCTAAAGGAGTAGTTACAAATTTCCTTACAGCATAGGATACTAAAAAATATCTAGTCCTGAAAGCATGCAATAGCTTTATAATTATTTGAAATGTTAATATGCTTGATAATTGCTAAAAGTTTAAAAATAATCTCAATTTCAAAAATAAAACTATGTAGAAATTATAATTTAGAGCTTTTTCTTGACAATTATACATGCTGCAATAGGCAACCAATGTTAAATTTCTGCAAGTTGTCCCTACTCCTCCGGATGTGATCAAGGTGACAGCCGGCAATGCCTCAGACGAGGGAGAAAACCTGTTTGGGTTAGTCTATTTCTTATAAGGTCCATGAAAGACTTCTGCTGACTGGGGTTTTAGTTAGCAGAAGTAGATGGTCAAGCATTCCTGTTCCGAAATGGGTATATTTCTACCTCTTTAATGCTGAAGTTTTCCGGAGTTTTTCAATAACGAGAATGCATTTTTGAGAAAATTGGCCTACAGTTTTTCATATTCGTTTCGTGCGATACGAGATATTTTACATTCACTCTTTATAGGAAACCTAGGTTTAGAAACTAGTTCATTCCAAGCAACTCCACTTCACTGCCTGTCCAGTGTTTAATGAGGTTTCCTTAACGTTAGTACTTTTGGTAAACGCCAAAAACATGTTGAATATTAGGCAGATGCCATTAGGTAGATAGAAAAATATGTTAAAACATCTAATAGTTTTTTGATTTTTATCTATAAGGAAAATTTTAGCTAACTGAATAATAATGAAAAAAAAATCATATATCCAAGTCAATTGATAAATAAATTTACCATAATATCTACTATTTCTCTTGGAAAAAAAACCCAGTTTTTTGCAATCTAGAATATTTCATATTTAAATTTAAAACATAAACGTAATGCAGGGAAATTTAAATTATTGTAATGCACTCTTGTTATAATCTACTCACCTATCAAGCAAAATAAGTTTGAATTGTAACTGGAACCTTCATTAGAATTTTCTTGTACTTTCACATTCCTGTCAAGTACATAAGCCGTTATGCAACCGAAGACAGCAGCGAACAAATGCAGAGAAACTGAACCTCCAATATCAGTAACCTATTAAAAAGAAAAAAACAGCTTGATTCATATTCCATGGAACCAAATAGAAAAAGATTCTTTCTTAAGAAACTTTGAGCAAAATCTTCAGATAACACAAATGACTAGTAGGCCTCAGGTATACCACATTGAAAGAAATAGTTCTACATAAAATCTTTACAAAGATTTATATTTTTCTATTTCTGTTTAATTATTATATTATTATTATTAACTATTAGCCCATAGGAGCGTTAGCACGGAATGGCTATTACTTTCGAAACGGCATTTTGCGTTGAATCACTCTAAAAGTCTGAATCACTTTTCAAAGCGTTGCCACCAAATATTATCGTCCTGCATTATATTTAAAGAAATTAAATAATGAAGAATCTGCATGAATGTATGTATATTTCACTCACTGCGAAAAAACAACGGTACGTAGAGCCATCAAGGTGTAGAGTACGTAGAGCTGTATTTAAGATGTTGCGCTGTTGGCAATGGTTTATTGGCTTTTCTTGCCACCATTTTTCTTCCCTTCAGTGATGGAAAGAAAGAATATCACGGTGTTAAGTATTTATATAAAGAAATATCTTTTGTTGTGCAATCATTAGAGACTATTTGTGCATTAAAATTAGTTCAACTTGAGTTTTAAATTTTCAAAAAAATTTCGCTATTTAAGGAATGCCTGCAGGTACTCTTTTTTTTTTTTTTTTTCTTCTTATTTTAGGACTTCTATCCCATCTACCATAATCGAACGTGCTTAGCGCCTTTAGTATCATTAAGAGTGTTGCCAATACAGCTAAATGAGTTCGAGAATTTCACTCAAGAAAAAGCGAGACCTCCTGCTGCTATTCCCCATTCTGACGTTCTAAATTTCCGCTAGTCTTTCTTTTTCTCATTAATCGACACCTTCTCTCCTCCCGTTTCTTGTCCATTTTTCTTTCTTTTTCACTTCAAAACTGATTCCAAGCGCTCCAATTGCTTTTCTACCGTTACAAATGCACTGCTGACGTGTCACAATACGGCTTTCTTTAAGTAACACTCTCACGAGCCTTCTAGAACGAAGTGGAAACAAACTTATTTTGCGATAAGTAACGATTTTTTTAAAATTGTTTCCAGTTTTGCGTCTAGAAATTGATTAAAAAAATAAATAAAAATATGACATTCAAGTGCAGTGTGTAGAAAATGAGTATTTAAACTTTTTTCGGCTCTAGGGGCAAGACGCTGAAATAATTTGCAAGGGGGGGGTTAAAAGTCGTGTTTTAATGTTTCATTGCAGATGTAAAGAATGTGTAAAAAGTTTTAAAAACTCTGTATAAGCGTTTTGTTGCAGATGTGAAGTGTATGGCAGGAATGTTTTAGATAAATTTGAGTTAATCATCTCTAGTGTGTAATATGCACAATCACACTTCTGTGGTGCTCAAGTAAGCACGTTAATTGCAAAAAACATTTTAGCTATTTTATAATAATTGGGGAACAAATAATGAATCAGTATATAACATGCAAACATAACATACATAACATGCAAAATTTAAGCAATGTTGTCTTGACATTGTTAAGGAAAATGAGTTGTAGACACATTAGATTATTTTTAAATAGGAGACGTGAAAAATATGCAATGCCCTCACCCGGATTCGAACGTGGATCTCTCGAATATACGCCGAGTGTGCTACCACTACACCACGAAGGCATGTTGGAAGGAGGGAGAAAATACCATATATACCCCCCTTTTAAAAGGCGACTGGGGATTAGGGGAACCAATCGCCAAATCTGGGTGGTGACGAATTATTTTTCATCACCTTTTAGTTCGGGCGCCAGTTGTAGAGACATTATTATTATTATTATTATTATTTTTTGGCAGGAAACTGAAGAAACCGCAATATTTTCCCCAGGATTCGAACTTAGAACTCTCGAATACACGCCAAGTGTGCTACTGTTACACCACGAAGGCATGCTGGAAAAAGGGAGAAAATACCTTATAGGAAGAAGATGTTTAAACTGGGACATGTACCTGATTTTAAAGATGAATGGTATATTTAATTTTATAACAGAAAATAATTTCCTCATAAGGTATTTCTTTGAAATTAAAAGAGTCTAAGATATGACGCTGTGATCTACCGTCTTCAGCTGCCAATGTTCTGCGCCCATTATATTTAAAGAAACTGGTTCAGGCCCTTCAGCTGTAATGAACGTTTACGGTATCTATTGAAAAACAGGAAGATAAAAGAAAAACTGCATTAAAAACAAAAAATTTTTAAAAAAATGGATTAAAAAAGCAGAAATAGATTTTTTTTAGAAATTAATTTTTGTTGAAGCAAAAGGCAAAATTAAATGCTAGTTTTTATTTCCTCTTTTACTCCTCTGCTCATATAGATATTCACAAAAATATATGTGTATACATATATACTATATATATGACACAAAATGTCTATTATATTAAACACGACCTAATAATAAATCCAGGACTGAAATGACATGCTTTTGAAAAATAAACATCATGATTTCAAAAATAAATTGCAAATTTTCATGATAAAAATAAAGATTCCAATTTTGCTGATTATTAAATGCGATTTAAAGCGATTTTACTGATTATTAAATGCGATTTTATTGAACCTATAGGTATTAGTCTAAATTATATTAATTGTTTAACCCGTCAACATTTATATACGTAGCTAATAACTAGTATTTATATGGAATAAAAGAATTCATTTTACTATACATTAGACCAAATGACTTAAGAAAGCACAATGCTTATCTTGCCCAAAGGAGTGTTTGCTCAGAAGGGCTGTTAATTTCGTTTTGGCAATTTGGGTAGATTCACTTTATGAGTTGATTCACTTTTCAGACTGTTGCCACTAAATATTACAGCCCTGTATTACATTTAAACAAATTAAATAATGAAGAATCTGCATAAATGTATGTATGTTTCTCGCATTGTGATAAAACAACGGTACCTAGGAATGTGGTGTGGTGTATTTAATTATGGCAAAGCACACGAGGGCTATCTGCGTAAGGGGAGGGATGCCTTCGTGGAGGACTTTCTAAGGGAAACTGGCTCGTATACACGTTACACATGGGGAAAACCACGAAAACGCCCATGCAGCCAGCTCGTTCGCGGGATTCGAACCTCAGACCGAACTACCAGTGTTCAGCGACTTTACCGCTCGGCCGCTGGTGGGCCAACGGTACCTAGAGCCATCCAATTTTGAATGACGTAATCCTGCTGAGAATGTGGGCATCTGAAAAAGCCCAAATTTGAAATTTGGAATTTGTTTTATTATCGATTTCATATTTTGTAACACTTTAACGAATTTCTGATGAACAATCTCAACGATTTCAGAGCGAGCAATAGCAACACTGTACGGGGGGGGGGAAGTTATCTCCAGCGCGCAAGACTGTGCATCGGAAATTCTGAAGATATGCTCATTTTAAAATTATTTTGAGGTATTGCTTTTGAATTAAATTTTATACTTTAAGTGCTTGGCATTTAATAAATAAAGGTAACACAGAAACGTTAAAAAAACGCCCTTTTGGGCGTAGTGTAAAAGCTGAAAACTTTCAGATTTTTTTTTAAATTTATTATTTCATATTTTGTAAAACTTACAAATCTTTTATTTAACAAACTCTACGATCTGAAAGAGAGCTGTGGCAACACTTTTTGGAAATAAGCAGATTTTCATCTCCAGCGCTGGAGACTGTTGCCACTCGGAAAAATGAGTGCGAAAATTAGTGTTTTTAATGAATATCTTGGCTGCTTAAAGCCATAGGAAGATAAGAATAGTCGAAATGGCTTCCCACGAATTTTTGGGATCCTGGAGTGCCTCTCTTGAAGCCCAAATCCCCGCAGTTTCGGAGGAGATGATATCACAAGCAAACAAATAAACAAACAGAGAGACGTGCGCAGGTTTTAAAAGTATAATTTTTTTAAAATTTAAACTTCTTTTATGCTCAGTTTCAAAAGTACAGAACCTTGTAATTCATCTAAAATAAACCGCATTCAACATGTTCTAAAGTTCATTCACAACTGAAACACAGATTTATTATAGACAGGTGGCGATACAGATTTATTCGCAATATCAGTAGTTACTTATTAGTTCAGATACAGAGTGAATTTTTGTACTTATTTACTACTAAATGTAATATTATATTGCATCTAATTATTAATGGATAAATGGTTAATGAGTAAATGAAAAACGATAGTTTGCCGACTATAACTGGAAAACTATCGATAGTGTCTAGACAGGAATAGTTTTTGTTAGGGACTATAAACACTTAAGTGTCGTTCAGCCGTACACGAATTTCGATAATAGCATAACAGACGACCAAATGTGGTGTTGTCCATTACTCATGCAAAAGTAAAAGAAGAAAACATCCTGGATTCGACAGTTTTCTGAAGATTGCACAAAATTTGGTTTTATGAAAGATACTGATGAAATCCATTGTGCATTATTTGTTATACAACCTTATTAAATGCGTCCGTAAGACTCATTTAATGCGAATTATTAATGTCTTCAAAACGACACTTAAAATTAAAACTTCCGTACAACAATAACAAGGCGATCAACTTTTTTATGAACAAGAAGAAAGAATTAATAGCTACCAAATAGACTATGCCTTCGAATTTTCTCATGGGGCTTTGTCTACAAACGTAGTTATGGCTTCTTATGAAATATCCGAATTAATTGCTGAAACTGGATATTCCTATACAGTTGCTGGAAAAGTTAGTAGCTATTGCAATGAAAACATTGGCATCTCGTATCTGTAATAACAAACAGCGAAACTAGATAAATATGTTGTTTCTCTCCAATAAAACAGTGAAGAGTAGAATCTTGAAAATAGCAGATAATAGTGAGGAAATTGTTGTAGTTCGCTTAAAACACTGCAAGTTTTTTCTCTTCAAAACCACGAAAGTACAGACATATCGGACAATGACAAATTAATGTGCTTTGTGAAATATAATTTTGAGAATACATCTAACGAACAATTTCTGTTTACAAAACATTGAATTCGAGAAAACTAGAAGA